AACTTCGACCACCACAAAGTAAGGAAAGGCACGATACCAGCACACCCGTACGACACCGTCAGAGTCGCAACCCTCATGCGCGAACGCAGGTGTCTCTATCTATGTGCGCCATCGACACCAACGTCCTCACGCATCTTTTGTCACCGCCATTCCGATCAGCTCGCTCGGCGTCTGCGCACGCAACCCATACTCCATCTGCATCCACGTCTGCGAGCCGTTCCCGGGCCACACCTCGTCCTACAGCAGACCAGACCGTCATCACACATCCCCAAGCGCATCAGCCAGAATCGAAACTCACCACGTCCCTGAGCAGTGCTCCCGCGCGTCCTCGTCGCGAACACGTCGTACGCCGACCGCCTCGGCACGTGCGCCCTCCCGAACTGCGTGTACGGCTCCGCGCCGTCCAGCGGGGCGGATGCCTGCGCCCCATCACCCGCACGACGGTCTGCGCGGGCGTCCTCGGCACCACGTCCGACTCCCTGTCCTCGCAGCTCCCCCGACGAAGTGGATGCTGAGCCCGTGCTCGATGTCCACGTCGAGCGCCGGCGCGCGGTCGGGCGCAAGCTGGCGCGGAGGTCGGAGTGCCCGGTGGAGTTGGTCGGGCTGAAGGAGAACGCGCCCGCAGCGGCTTTGTGGTCGCGGGAGCGCGCGGAGGACTCGGAGGCGAGTGGGTACGGGTGGACGAGGGCGCCTTCCGCGTCGACAATAGAGCTTTGCATGCGGAGCTTGTTCCGAGCGTTGAACCTGTGTTCCAGACGAGGGAAGGCGCGTCAGTGAGCGAGGGGACCGCGCGAGGTGAAGGAGGGATGTAGCTGACATGGCGAGGAAGGAGTTGACGTAGACTGTGGGGGAGACGGTTAGTGTTGGGATGAGCTGGGAGTCGGGAGAAACCGTACGCACGCTTGGTGAGCATGAACTCGACGCTGATCACCGCGAACGTCGTAGGCAGCGCAGTCATCTGCAGCGGAACGGGGGTTAGGTGTATGCGCGCTGCAACCGCCCACAGGACGCACCGTGATGATCGCCGTAAGGGAGCAGAGACTGCGCCACCAATGTCAGTCACTTGCACAGTACGAGAGTAAGGGGCAGCCGCACCTCGTGATGACACCTGTGTTCAGCGTGTACAGCATAAGCACGGTGATTGTCGAGTCCATGCTATCCACCGACACGCAAGGTCCTAAGTCAGCACCCGAAGCATGCGGACACACGAGACGAATCCGCACCTTGTCGAGCCGACACGACACCGCTCGAGGAAGTAGCACAGCGAGAGCGCAATGATCACGTCGATGAAGGTCGCCGCGCCGAGGGGGAGGTACGTGACCCACTGACACTAGGTGAGCGCTCGTTACTGTGCGACGCGACGGGGACGCGTACCCGGGATTCGAGTAGGCCGGTGTAGGACTCGAACTGCAGGCTGCGGCAAGAAGAGTTGGCGGCGGGCGGGGAGAGGCGGGCGAGAGGTACGTACATCTCGTAGCAGAGTGCTTGCAGATGACGTCAGCGGGATGCGACGAGAGATGAGAGAGGGATGCTCACTTATTGCTGAGCCTGTCCATAGATAGTCGTGAGCGAACATAGACAAAACTTTGAGGCACAAGACGAACCGTATCCACCGAAGAGAACGATCGCGGACTGCGTACATTGAGTCGCGTCTACACGTTTGGTACACTGATGGGACGTACGACTGCTAGGGGCAGAAGCTTGCGCAAGGCTGATTTTCGGTTGTCTGCAGCATTGACTGCGGTAGGGACAGAAGAAGGGCATGACCAGTGTCAATGGTCAGATCCAAACAGATAGGCGGACAACCTTACGTTTCCACAGCCGAATGGTGTACAAGCTAAGTAGGCTTGTATGAGTAATGGAAACGGCGCATACAGCCAGGTGAATACGAACGTATGAACCGAGACAATGACAATCGCCTACGGGAGCCTCAGTTGACGTCTGCGCAACCAACACGAAAGAAACTCACGTCCACGATGATCTGTGCCTGCGGGCATGGATGAGAGATCGATGAAACGCGCCCAGAAGTCACCAGACTTGCCTTGAAACTCCAGACAATGTCTAGAAGTACGAGGGGATCGAGGTAGTTGGTGACGAGATACCAATACACCAGGTGGATACACAGAACCAGATGAGCGGCATCGAGCATCCTGGGCGGTACATTCAGACTACACCGTCATAGTCGGCAGTGTTCTACTTACCACAGCCAGCAGACTGAGATCTTGTTCCAGATCCTGTCGGAGGGGTACTTTTGGAAGTAAACGAACGTCTGTAGGTTGGTTATACCGAACAAGCTGTTCGTCAAATCTCAGAGAAGCTCAGTACAGCAGAAGCACAAGACGCGACTCACACCGCGGAGATGAACGCGCCTATGAGCACGGCACCATACGTTCTGTCGAGCTCCCCCATGGCGGATATCCTGCGCTCAGAGTGAAGGGGGAGGAGATGGGCGAAAACCGAGTCCAGTCAGGGTAAGGAGAGACTTATGGCGGGCTTTACACCGAGGGCACCTTCGCGAAGAGGATCATCTGGCTAGGAATGGTCGAGCATGGGCGACGAGCGAAGGCACGAAGTCCTTTTATTGCGGTAATATCCCAATTTTCTGGACACGGATGCTCTGAAGTGTGCCTGTCGGCATGCCATCTTTATCTCGACGCACAACGTGGATGGAAGAGAGCACATGCATGCAGACGTGATGTACACGGAGCAGGAAGGCACATCTGTTGGCACGAGCGTCAGTGGCCTGAAACGGTAAAGCAATTGGCGGATGTATACAGAAACACACGGTACTACCTATTGCTTTCATACACGCCGTCAAGCCTCACAATGTGCGGTGCAGATATACGCAAATTCATAGACCACGGATGGTATGAACCCCGCCGGTTTCAGGCTTCACGACCAAGATGATGACCTGGCGAGCGGAGTCGGATTGTCGACGTCGTTGCGACTCCTACCAGAAGGCCATAATTCACGATAAGTGTCCCGTCCTTGAAATCCCCGTCTCGAGAGCTTGACTCGCATGACTACCGTGTAGGATGGACCCGGCACCTGTGCGTGTTCATCAAGTTGATGTTCGACGTCCAACGTTGCTGTCGGCGCACTTCAGATGTCGTTTTGTTCGGTAGAGATGGAAGCCCCACAGATACGGGGAAGTCATCCCAGACACTGGTAATCAGCGGACAGTTTCAGCTAGAGTGTAGTGAAAGCGTACAAGGAAGAGAAGCCCGAGACTGGCGACCGACTCGCAGGAGACGCGTCACGGTCACGTGGCGTAGTCATGAACAACTGACCAAATCCGAGGAGGGAGGAGGTAATTCCATTTCGTCACCCAGCAACTAAGTACCTACGCGACCTTGACGCGCGAGTAGAGGGATTATCGAGGAAATTCCATTTGGTCACTACTCCCTACGCAGACGCGCCCTAGCAGCGCATAATACTATGTAGCCTTCACCTTTCCGAGAGGCCCCCAGTTGTCACCGACATCCAACCTACAGTACCTTACTCTTAATATCGTACGATCGCAATTACGACTCTATAGTTCATACATGCTAAGTAGGGAGCGACAAAAACAGAGTGAGCATATTCGCGTGTTCGTGTATAAAGTAGTACATAGCTTGTATCCGATGCATCCCGTCAGGTGTCTCTTGGGTCAACCTCCGTCCAAATCTGCAGCCACAAAAGAGTCATCATGCAGGGACCCTCGCCAATGTCTCCGCGACGAGTGCCTTCGCTGCTGAAGAGCGCGGTGCGATGAAACATTTAAATTCTTCAGCATGGCTAGTGCACACCAGTGAGTTCGACTGCGTCTATACTACGCACACAATGCCTCACCTGATGAAGTTGGGAGTAAAAGACGCTTCCGGAGTAATCTCCTTCCCTTCTGCATCGCGGGCCTTCCGGATGTCCAGCGTAGCCGTCATGTTTGCTATGGCCAGGAACAGCATTGTATCCGCAAATAGGCGTCCGGGACAGATCCTGTAGTCGGTACGGGTGCATAAGTATCTCTATGTAAATGAGTGAAATAATGAATGACCTGCGTCCGTAGCCGAAGACAACGTTGAATGGATCTAGCACTTCAGACTTCGGTTCAAGGAAACGCTCCGGACGGAAAGCAGCCGGATCGCCCCAGATGCGCTCGTCACGACAGATCGACCTGGGGAATCACGGTAAGTCGACTGGATTTACAGTCTAGGTGCACTTGCACTACCACACGTTTGCCACAACGGTTGATCCTTTGGGTAAATAATAGCCTCCGTATTCGTCGTCTTCCTCGAGATAATGCGGTAGTCCTGCGGCCTCGTGTAAGCCAGATATTTACAGCAGACCTAGAAAGCCCTTGCCTAGAGTGACGGGCGCATGCCAGCTTGTTGCAGATTGATTAGAGATTATGAGGATTACATTAACTGTGGACGCTCACCGATAAGTCTCCTTCAGGACGGCTTCGATGTAAGGTAGACGCGGCCTATCTTCCGAAGTCGGAAGTCTATTCTTCCCGACGACACGATCCACTTCCTCCTGCGCTCTGTTGTATACATTTGGATGGAGCACCATCGCTAAGAAGAAAGTAAGTAAAGCGGACTGCGTCTATCCGTCGTAGCTTCGATCAGGAACGGTGCGAGGTTGTCAATGTAGATATGTACCGTATCTGTTGCAGCTAGTGTAGCATGTGAGCGGCCACGTAGCTCTGATATTCATCACGATGGAGGACCCACCGCCGTATATATTCCCTGCTGCATAGCGGATGTCGTTCTCTTCTTGAGCCAGCCGGCCCGCTTTCTGCGCCTTCTCTGTGAGGGCGGACGCGAATGAAGGTCGCGCGTCGCCAGATACCTGTTTGCCGTTCGTCATATGTTGATCAGGTACAATTCGTGCGCACAGCACATACCATTGCTTCTCGGACCATCCTATAGGGTACGTGGTGGCCTTTCCATACGAGCTGCCTCGCATGTAGCCCTACTCGTTTGAAGACCGCTCCGGGTATCCAGGCGGGGACGTGTTGCACTGCGATGATCAATTGGTTTGCCCGAGTCGGACTGTATATTGAACAGTGCTCACAAATCGGGAATATGTCTACCGCCGTCCCGCCTGCTACTCCAGTTGCGGTGGTCGCGTCCATAGCGTTGTCCATCAGAGTCACATATTCATCTTCCAGCGAGGTGATCCGATGTCCATACACGGATTCGAGGACTAGTGCCGCGACGTGTCTTGTGCAAATCATTGTTAAGTTTCTCAAGCTACACCTTCAGGCCGCGGGACTGAACCTACCGCTTGATGTGCAAAGCAAAGTCGTCGGGCCTCTCCATTAGGCCCAACAAGAGGGTGTACGTCTCCCGCTCTCTCAGATCTCTATAGTTCTGCACCGCCTTCTTCTCGCCAAAAGCGCTCCATATCCACCGACGTTGCTTGCGGTGGCCTTCCGACCTATAAGGCAATAACGACGTAATGGGATACCACCCGATTCTGCCGGAAGGGGACACATCCAACCATGGTCATCGACACGCATTATACGCACGCCGGGAAATAGAACTTACAGCTCGACCAGAAGTGCCATTCGCGGTCGACTTGAGTACTTCGCGCCCCGCTTCTCCAGCAGGTCTCGCGCGATCTTCTGCGAGTTGATGATGATCGTACGGTGACCGAAGGTCTCGGTATACATCAGGTCACCTTCAATTGTAATGGTAGCATCGGCATGTGAGCCTGGATTTCGGTCTGTCACGGCTGCATCGTACCGTATTTCTGCGCCCACGAAGCAAAAAATTGCCACGGATATTGCGATGGCAAGTCAAAGACGTTGCCCACGAGCGGGAGGCGCTTGGGGCCTGGAGGGAGATGGCGGTTTCCTTGGCTGCTGCGACTGAGTGAGTAGAGCAGGATACACAGCGCAGGGATCGCGAGCCAGGCATAAGGAATCGGGTCCTGAGACATGGCTGCCTACAGTACCAGTCAGCTGCGAGCGTAGTAGGTCAGAGCGGCGCCCTGGCATCTTATAGCGATACTATTGGCAGTGTAGCGCGGAACCCTGCGAAGCATAGTACTAAAATGAGTGGACACTTACCGTAATGTGCTGAGCCGTGGCGCACAGGCCCGGTGTACGAGGAGCTCAAACCCTCGGAGTCGTCGTCTCGTGCCCAGCCATTTCAAACCGGCCGTACGGTGTAGGGACGGCCGCACCTAACCGCGCACCCGGCGCAGTGTTTTGTCCTGGGGTCGCTGACCAGATCGAATACGGGAGCGAGCGGTCGCCGAGGACTCATCCTGGAATAGCTGATAGATACATCACATCAGAAGAGCGAACTCACCGTGTGCTAGTATTTGGTTTCAGACAAGGTTCGCCGCTCTCGCAGAGCATTCTTTGCGGCGTGATGGCAAGATGGAGGCGCAGGGACGGCTAACAAGCTTTGCGCGACGGTCCTGCAACAACTTGTATGTGGACTAAATTTAGGCTCCGGGCTCCGGCACGATCTATCTTCCCTGTAAGTCGCCACCAGATACACGGCGAGGGCCTACATGAAGGCATCCCGGCAGTTTCTGTGGACAGTGGTCTTCATTCAACATATCAAACACGAGTAGTATCGGTCAGCCTACCTTCGTCCACGTCCATGACTAAAGATGGCGCCCGTCGGGTTCACTATCTCTACATTCAGTAGAGCCGCAGCCAGAAATTGAGCTCGGCAGAAGACGGCCGCATTACCAACGACCGTAAACCTCTTTAATGTAGATCATAAGCTAGACCTCGAGGAATGCGATAAGTGAGCTGCAAACGCTTGAATGCATGTGACCGTACCATCGTCGCGCCATATATTTCTTTGCCCATTGCACGTACGCGTGTTCTTGATACTCGGCAGGAATATTGCCTGTGGTCGGGAGTAATCTAGGAGGTAATTCGAACCGACACCCAAGGACTAGCCAGCTGCTACAAGTTGGCAGAAGATAAGTAACTTCACGCCGCAAGATGATTTACTTTCACTATGTCACGGAGAGAGGATAGATAGCGGTGGTGTAATGCATTACCAGCAAGCGACTAACAGACGCTTGAGTCGTCGAGGCTAGGAGCCTGAGGCCTGAGAAGGCACCCAGTCTCAGCTTCACATTTCAGGATGCTTGCATAGAGCACACGACGTGTTCGCAGAAGATAAACTGACGACTAGACATCCATCAGAAGCTTGTTTGATTTCAGCTGAAGTGAAGGTACAAGACGCACGTAGGACAATAAGCAGTTGCCTTGGATGGGCTGCTTCGATGGGCACATAGCCCTTACGACTAATGCGCGAGTACCCACGACGCATACGCTTGTCCACTTCGAGGCGGAATCTACGGGGCTTAACCAGCCCTCCTGACTCGCGAAGCCAGTTGTTACCTCTTGATCTAGATTCGGTAGAATCTGGACGGCGGTGAAGGGCACAGTGACGTGAATGGCATCGAGTGTTGGTCATAGTTAGTCAAAGAGTAGACTTCCCATTTTCCATCGTTACTACGTAGCCAGCACGAAATCATTGAGAATCTCGCGGGCTCAAGCTGGTCAAGGCGAAAGCGAGCGAGATGAACGTGGACTTCAAGTTTTGGCGCTTGGACGAGGAACGAGGTGAATTCGGCAAACTACGCTAGTTACAGCTCAGGTCACGTGTGACCTCGTTTACCGTGACTCCAGAGAGTACATAGAGCGTAAAGCATGGAGCAAAGAACAGGTAGCATAGATGAAAAGGGAGGAATAAAATGGTTCATAGTATGGAAGTAGAACGGAATTAGAACTGAAATGAGTAGTATGTCAATCACGTGCATGGCCGAGACCCGATGCCTTGAATGCTCGAAGAATATCAGCACAGCAGCAGTTGGGACAGCAGCAGTTGGGGTTAAATACGGCGTTGTGACTACAAGAGCACTCAGATATGTCATACGAGGAGGCAGGTAACAGAAGGAGGATTTTGATAAAGAGTTTGTAGTCACCTGCCAGCAACACACCGAAATCAGCGCCCGAGTCAGGTTCCTCGTCGCGGAGGAGCACGGCGAGATGGAACACAATGATGTCTATATTTCAGCACAAAAATTGACTCGCTTGATCATGGAGGGCATAAAGCAGATCCCTGGAATCTGTCGTCGACCAGCGATAAACACTGTGAAACAGCTTGAGATATGCCTCGTGTACGCCACTGCCATTTACCGTATCTGTTGCCCATAATGCAAAGATGTTCTCCGGGTGCTTCGAAGGCATACCAAGGGCGTTCCGACGAGAGAACGGCGCGTTCGGCCACGTGGGAGACGGCGCTGGTGTCTGAGACAAGCAAGTACAAGATCCCCAGCAAAGGGAGTGCAGTCGGTGACACGGTTGTCAGACACTAGTGCGCAGGTCGAGTTAGAAGAGTCCCCTCATTGAGTCTATGCACTCACTAGCGGCACGATACATAATCTGAGTGCCCGGAGCCATGTTGCTGTGAGCAAGCTTTGACAGCGTGTACGGGAAGGCTCCCATCCCACGAGGAGTATGGAAGCCCTGTGACGTGCGTCCATTGCGTGCATAGACATTTGGCGTCCATTAGCCAGGCCATACCGAGGAATGTAGTGGCGGAGCACGAGGCACTTCACAGTCCCTGTGACTGTTTTCAATATAGCGTCGAGTTCGAGAGCAAGTGCCGCCCATGCGATAGCTGATACGCCACATTCTATGATGACGGCGCAGCAAAGCAGCGACGTCAACAACAAGGTTCGACGCTTTCGCGGTCTGGCTTTACGGCAGATGCGAAATCGCAAGGATGGCTGAATAGCGTTAGACGGCATTCCTACGGGTCGAACATACTGTATAGCTGCCTTTCGAAGAATCAACCCTTTCACGATCGATGCCAGAAGGCACACACATGACAGGCCTCACTCCGTGACACTCACTAACGCATCCGCGACGACTCGGAGATTCATTGCGGCAGACGATCGAGGCGTGATCGCACAGTCGTATGCTTCAGGATAGCTGGGGAGCAGATATGCCGGAGGTACATCAGTTCGCTGACCTCCAAGGCGACTGTTCCGACTTACCTGATAAACGAAGATACGAACGCAGCTTTCGGGGTGATGACGCTGCCCTTCAATGACGCGCCTTCTCGATGTTTAGCGTTGCTGCAACACTGGCTATCGCCAAGAAGAGAGTCGTGTCCGCAAAAAGGCGCCCAGGACAGAGCCTGCGACCATGTGAGTGACAGCATAGGCATGCTCCCGCACAAAGACACAATGCGTACCGTCGGCCATAACCGAAGACGATGTTGCGAGGTTCCTCGATCTCGGGGCTGAGGAAGCGTTCTGGGCGGAATGCCTCAGCGTCACTGTATTGTTCCACGTTGCGAGTCATCGCCCTGGGCGGTGGTGATAAGTTCCAAGCAGAGCGAGATAATCGACTACACGATACCAAATGTTGATTACAATGTGGGTGTCCTTGGGCGTATGATAACCCTCCTACTCGTCGTCTTCAGTGAGATGATGCGGTACACCTGTAGGTATGTAGCAATCAATAGCTACGCCAGACACGCATGAAGAAATGAGTGCTTTACTCATGGGAATCGCTGGGTTCCAACTGACTGGTCGCGCAAGAGATGAGCCATATCTGTCTGGAGTCCAAGGGTGTCACTTACCGATTCGTCTCCTTGACGACACAGTCGATGTAGCGCAAGTTCGGTTGTTCCTCAAAAGTGGGCAGTCGGATGTCCCCAACGACCCGCTCCCACTCGTCTTGTGCCCTCTTGTACACCTCTGGGTGAACCATCGCCAAGAAGAACGTTTGAAGCACGGTCTTCGTCTGTCCATAGCACCTCTCAATATCAACCTAGATCAGATAGAATTCTGAAACATACGTCTGATCGTAAAGTATATTATGAGACATCATCCGTGAACCGAGATACCTTCCAACGCCGCCGTCAATAGAAGTGCAGAAGAGCCGTCGTTTGATAGCACCCTGGTCTTTTCCATATCCCTCAGTATTTTATTAATGTACTCCCCGCGCCCGACAAATGCGCCACGCGAGCCGCAGCCGCATGGAGGCGCAAGTAATCTGGAGACGGTAGCGGAAGCTTCTCGGGGTCCGGGGTCGTGAAAGTGACTGTCGTCGGTATGTTCCGCCGATACATCGGGTGCGTAGTTTGGGGCGTGTATGTGTGCGGCGTGTCCTAAGCAACATCATTATTTGCGGGCTCGTCGGCAGAGAGATCGATTGGTAGGTACTCACAGTGCTTTCAAGCCACAAGTTGAGCATTTCAAAGTGGGTATGCTCGTCGCCGCGGAGTGTCATCACGTTCTCCAGCCGATGAACGTTAGGTCCATTCAGTTCATCGAACACAAAAGTGTCTCCGAAGCGCGCCATGACAGTCCATACGGTAGCTGCATATTCGTGCTAAGAATATGTGATTCGTAACTCCAGGCCAGCAATTAGATACGAACGCATACCCTCGCACCATTTTGGTTGATACCCGATATCCCAATGTTTGTGGATTCAGGGAAGATGTGGGCTGCCTGGGTGAACGTAACGGGAGCATCGGCCGGGAGGATATGGGGCTTCTCTTTCACAGAGACGATGTCAAATGCACCAGTGAGCATACATCGGTAACCATCCCGTATGAGGGCCTGGTGATAAATGCAGGTGAGAAAGCGATATTGTGGGCGGTAATGAGTGTGCACAAAACCTTCTGTTTTGCTGTTGCATGATTCTGGGGCGCCTCTTCTAGAGGATATTGCAGAGTTTCCTGTGTGGCATCGAACGAGGGCCTCGAAGGGTGAGTGGATGGGGATCGAGTACGGCCTTTAGCAGCTCGAACTATGGCACAGCATGTACGTTTCACCATCTGCCTTCTACACCGAGTAGCACATAGGGGTACTCACAGCAACGGAGGAAATGATTGATGTATAGTGTCGCCAGACGTTCAAATTCATCGTCATCACCACATGAGTTGATTTCGCGGGAAAGGCAGTCGCGACCTGTATCACTGGGGGTTTCGAGCATAGCATAGCCCAGGATTCTCGCGCGTACGAGGGCGGCCGCGGTGGCGTCGCCAATTGTATTGCCGACCTGTTCATGATGGAGGCATTTGGCATACGCGTCCTGCCATGGTTGGAATACGTAATTATTCGTTGGCAAGGGCTGAGGCATTGGGTATTGTATGCGGAGTAGCGTGATGTTTAAAGGAGTGCGCCGAATAGAACTCGCAGTAAATAGCAAGACGGCGGTCGAGACGCCACAAGCAAGGCGTACGCGCGTAAGCGTGACTCATGGCAAACTGACAGACTGCGCTAGTTACAGCTCAGGTCACGTGAGACCTTGTCTACCGTTCCGAGTCAAAGGCGAACATAAGGGTGGGAGGCATAAGAGTGACAAGCATAAGTGATGTAATAGAGGTAGGCATATAAGTAAGAGTGGATAGGATCAACGGTCAAACGAAGGGAGGGTGTTGAGATGGGAGAGGTTGTCATGTAAGACCATACTCGCGGCGAGGGCATGTGTGCGCGGTGGGTACGGGCTCGTGCGTCATTTGTATTCGCCCCATATGCGGCCGGCGAGGCGAACGGAGGCAGGATGCCAGGTAGCAGACCATACGGACCAGGTAGTCACTTGATTACTCCGCCGGAGAGGGGTTGCTAGTGCTTTGACCAACAGTTCAAGCTGAGTAAATGATCTAGGCCCCATGTGCTATTGTATGCATCGGACGTCTTGCTCCTATCATCGCAAAGACAATGGCACAAGGCATTATATATCGACATCAGGTCCCTTCAATGCAGGACGTCCCCTAACCTTCATCGTCCTCCACAACACTGAAGACACAGACATCAATGGCCCCCGCCTGCCGTACTTGCATCGTCGATCCCGGACGGGGAATTGACCAGCACACTTGGCTTGTCGACTCTCTGGCTAGAGCGTTGAGGACAGCCAACCGCGACGCATGCTTCAAGAAGATTGCTAAGGAAGTCGCCGAAGGGTTCGAAAGCCGGTTCGACCCGTCAGTGCTCGGGATCATCACCAAAAACGGCAAGTTCGTGCGCTATGAAACGAGCGAAGAACGCAGAGAGCGGTGCCGGGATAGACCCAAGGTGATTCTCATTTGTGTTCACCGCGTCCAGAGGCCGACAACCTTCGTCAGAAAATCATCCGATGGGTTGAAAACCACAAGGACTACTTCCTGATGCAGCGATTGCAGACCTCAGAGGCACGCGAACCCAGCCTTCCCCTCAAGGAGTTGCGAGAGCGTGCAAAGAGTGCTCGCGACTTCTTTGTTAGGGACCATCCGAACATCGGAAGGGAGGCCAGAGCGGAGGCATACGCTAATGGCGATACGCTCAGCCACAAGGCCATAGCAGTGAATCACGCCTACAGCGCCGCCATCGCCGAGATGAAGACGCAAGATCCAGAGAGATGGGAGGCCTACGAACGAGAGTCGCAGCAGTCCAAGACCGAGATGCGCGCTGCTCGCGCCGTCCATATGGATGACCAGCCTCCGAACGAGCCAGGTCTCAGTAACCACCGGTCCCAGGGTGACGCCAGCGGCGAAGCGGCCGCGTCTCACGCCGAGTGAGTGTTTTGTTCCTTGCGCAGTGGCGGCCGGGCTCTGAACTTGAGCAGCATAGGAATGCGCCTGGAACACAACGCGCGCTTCTCGCTTGAGGCATGGGCAGACAAATCCGACTGTGAAGTGTTCCTCTATATCGGTTGTATCGACCCAAACGGGAAACCACGGAGGTGGATGTCGCGAGACTCTTCGCGACGTACACAATGCTCACTGTCCCAAGGATGAGTAGCGGCAAGGCAGGCACAGATGACCTCGCGGGCGAGATCAAAGGCTCACCTTTCATCGACACTCTTGATGCGTATGTCTTACGCCGTCGAAGCAACATCGCAAGTCCCGCTATCGAGCCAAGCGGTGCATCGACCTCCCGACACCAGAGTAGCACGCAGACGGGAAGTAGGCCAGGTGCGGCGTACCCTGCGTTCGATGACATGGCTGGCGGGCGGCGGACCGACGCTCCTACAAGCAAGGACCTAAGGGCGGATATGAAACGTTCAAGAAGGTCGATGTTAGAAGACAGCGCTGGGAATGAGGAAGAAGCAGCAATCAACCGCCACGCCGAACCGCGCATCATCGAGACGCCCCGAGTTGATACCCGGACGGGCGAGGCGAGTCTACATCTGAAGCCTGCGCAGACTGCTTCGTGCGATGATCGTCAACTTCTTGCACTGAAGTCTGAAGGCAGCGATATCTGGGCCGCACTGTTCCGAGAGCCCATACACATCGTTACCGATGCAGATGACAGCGCGAAGCAGGAACCGGTCAACGCGAACAAGGACCGCATCGCTCTGACCGAGACGTCGCAGCATGCTGAGACTTCGCCGCGAGGCAAGGTGCATCGTGCCACCTCACCTACGCCTCCCAAGGCCCCGGTAGCAGTCAACAGTCAAACGCAACCAACTGGCCAGAAGAGGAAGCTCGAAACAATCGACCTCCAAGCTATGCTCAATGAAACGAAGCGGACCAAGTGAGTGGCTGCTGTCACTCCTGTCGGACCGCGTAGCTAATCGCCACGACAGAAAATGCGGTCACGCACGTCCGAGTAGAGGTTGTTAGAAAAGGTCTCGTAGCCTAGCATTTGTTCACACTCACAAGCGACGATAATCCGGCCTTTTTTTCCGCACTAGTATACCTCCACCTGCGTCCGTTGATGAGTAGTCATTCCTGTTCTGGCTTGGTCGTGGTTATGATTTGAATCCATGCGTCGTGCCCATGTTGTAGTCTTCGTGAGATCAACCAGCCGCGCAGGAATGAGTCACGCAAGGGGTGCATCTATTCCAACATCCATAGATTAGCTGTACGCGGTCGTCTTCAACCGGCTGGCAGTATGGTACATACCTGCTTGTCGTGCGCGTGCGACGCAGAGCATAGGCTCGGTGGGGTATGCGTGGTCAACTGTTGGACAGTCGCGTCCGCGGTGTCCAGTTACGAGTCGTGACTGCGACAACACGACAAAGCGTAGATCTAGCTGGAAGCCCAGGTTCATTTGGCGGGAGACGCGGGGGAGAACACTCAGACAGCGAGATTTGAAACCAAGCGACGACCTCGAACGCGACGCGCGTCAGCCTACGAGAACGCGATCACGTGCCAGTGAGCTGGCACGATACGAGAGACTGCCTGTGCACAATCACTTCCTAATAGTGAGTCATGCGCACACCCATTTCACCGTTGAACTTAAGCATGTATAGGGTCTGCGTAACCACGGCACCTCACCTCATGCACAACCCATGAACTATGCCGCCATGGTCGTAGATGACCTGCACTTCTTCCGCACACACACCCTCACGAACGTCCCTCTGCTCGGTCATCCAACGTGAGTACTCGTCGAATGTACTCGGAAGGGGAGGGGAGGAAAGGTTGCGATGTTTGTTGCGCTCAGCCCCAGAGTCCCACCAGACCTCAAGCAACTTATTTTCGCAGACATCTCGCGCCCGTGAAGGGTCCCCTCTCGCCCAAGGTCAGCGGATATATAATTGAAGTGCCGAAGAAAACTGAATCTAGCAAAGTGACGAACCGGAAGGAAGCACAGGATATCCTGATCATGAAGCCATGGAACAAGTAGGTCACGCGTCATGTACAGTGGGCTTCGTACTGACTCCATTATAATGCAATATTTGGCCCGCGCGTTCCTCCTCACGAACCTCAAGCATCAGAGACACGAGCACAATCCGCCCGAATTTCATATCCCTTGAGATCATCGGCGACAGCATACCGGAGATAGGCTCCTTCAAACGAGCCCGGTGAGCGGACTTGGCAAGGCAGTACGCTCTTCATCAAGGGCACAAACAGGGACAAAGAGCAAGCGAGTTATTTGTACCAAGCAAGCATTATTGATAGATGATGTTCAACATCGAATACAGGCTTGGAGCGTCTGGGGTGAGTGAGACCAACATATTGGTCGTTCTGTTGTGCTTACATAACAGTCGTTAGTACATGCTGAGAAGTGCGGTTCTGACGGACTGTTGCTCGATGTAGCTGACCTTTGATCGTTAGGCCGAACGTACTCAAACACTTGGTCACGGACTCCATTAAGGCACGACAGTGTTACTGATGAGCAACATGATGTCGAGTAGAGCGCTGTACCGTGTGGCTTCCTACGTTGCCCCAGCCAAGCTCTTAGGACGGCAGGCCGAGTGGATTGGCATGTGAGTACTCAGTTCGTTATGCTTCTCGTTGTTCGGGGTTGCTACCTTGTTGCTACCTGTGCGCCATCTCCCTGAATCTGCTATCTGAGATACCCGGACGGTGCCATGTGCAACGAATATCGACCCCGATGCATCGATCCAGTTGACCATGGAGCGCGACGACGATAGGTATGTACCACTACTATTCGATATGCTGAGAGATCACGGAAGCTCGAATCCGGTAGCTACTTGTACTAATACGTTGTCATCAGTTTACGCTGCCCACTCGTTCAGACAGGCCGTCAGTTGACGAGTATACACCCATGCATCCTACTGCCCCCGATGTCGGCCAAAGTCAATGATTCCGATCTTGACAAGCACATCTTGGACCAAGTCGACTGTCCAGATCAAAGCTGCAACGTGTTGGTGCCGACGGTGTCGTCAACCTCACAGCCGCCTAGTCTCCGTTGCAGACCATAAAAGCCGACAAGCTAACAGCCCTACCTCCATGCTGCCGTCCCATCTCGTCCCTTCTCCTCGTACTCTCATCAAATCCGTGAACATTGAAGGCCTTCAGTAGTCCCGGTCATGTCGAACCAACGGTACTTCCGCTTCACGCTCACACTGCTCATCACACTCTACATCTACCTGGCCCGTGGGGAGTACTTCGACTTCATCGCGCCTCTTGCACACCTGGTCACGCTCGAGGCTCGGTACACGTCCAACGACATCCTGCTCTGGGCGGTAGTTCACTTTGGCCCTGTGGCGGTCTTCTTCGGTCTCCTCAATGTCTACGTGCGTTTCTTCGGGCCTGATCATCGGTTCTCCCGGTTCGTGAGAGAGCTTGTCAAGGTCTGTCGCCGAGTCCATGTACATCGAGCTTCTTGTGACCTCGCCCATCTAGGAACGGGTCGCAGCCATTCATCCTCAACGCCACCGTCATATCGACTTTCCAAGGCCTGCTTCCATTACAGTAGCCACTGACCATGTGGCGGAACTGGTTGCCGCTGGTAACTCTGCTTGTGTCTCTCCGATCGACAACTTGAACTCCCATCCTGTATCTCTTGATTCTGGGGCTTGTGTATGGTCCGACGTATTTGCCCAAGCATCATCCTCGCCCACTGCATCTCCTGAGCCTGTCAAACTTGTCCTCAAATCTGGCCACGCCACGTCACAGGCTCCGGCTTCCTGTCTTGTCAGCCCTACACCTGCTCTCCCCATTGATACCGTGCCCAAGTCCGAAGCCGACAAACTGCAAAAGGAGATGCTGCACAAGCAGAGCAAAGAGATGTCTCGGCTGGAATTGGAGAAGAAGCTCAGGAAGTCGCACACCGAAGTCCAGCTACAGTCTCAAAAGCTGCAGGCTCAACTCGAAGATGCGAAGCGCGAAACAGCGGGCCTCCAGGACGACCTCACTCGTGTTCACACGGAAACCACCGAGAAGGTCGGCAGTCTGAACAGCAAGGTCACGGCTTCGGAGGAGCGTATCAAGGATCTCGGACGCGAACCCGGCACTGCTAAGGCTACGACGAAGGCTCTTGAGGGTCTCATTCAGGCTTGCGCCCACGCACTGGCCGACTCTGCCCAGGAAAACCAGAAGGACAAGGACACGATTGCCCGGGTCCGAATTCGAAACGTCGAAGATTACCAGAAGCTCGCCCTGCGTTTCAGGCTCGAACTAGATTCTGAGACCATGAAGAACACCCCGCAGCAGCCTCGTACATATCCAGTAGTCAAGGGGCAGCTCGTGCACAAGGCTCCCTCTTCCAACAGCTCTGACATCCGGTGGACCCCGCACATGTACGTCCAAGAGCTGAACCGCCAGAAGTCTATTGCACGGCACCATACCGAAGAAGTGCATCAGGAGGCAGATGCGACGATCAACGAGCTGAAGGCCGCTCTTGCGACTATGACTGGGCAGCGCAACAAGCTCGAGGCCGACGTCGACTCCGTGACCACAAAGCGCAAGCATCTTCAGGCCAAGGTCGACTCTCTGACGTCTCGCAATGCTACTCTCGAACAGGACGTGCGCGACATCACCGCGGCAAGGACCACCGCCGAAGAGGAAGTCATGCGCCTCTCGGCTCTGCTCGAGCCTATGTACACCTGTGGTGCTGCAGTTGGGCGGAGGACGACTTGAAGCACAGGCTCGCGAAGGCCGTCGATCATTACGCGCTCTCCGCTGCATCCACTGCCGCAAGCACTCGGATACGACTACTGCGGCTGAGCTCACGTCGCCTCAGAGCACCCTCGCTACTGCAGAGGCCCACCACAAGAGCATGCGTGAGGACCTCGGCATCCTGCAACGGGCGATCGACGACGCGTATGCTCCTCTGGGCCCTGTTATGATGGTGCGCCTCGCCGCTAGGTCTCCATCTTCATAGGGTCCTGAGGCACGACGAAAAGGTGGCTTTGATCTCGGACTTCGCGGTACTCTTGGCGAACGAGGTTCTGGTCCCGTTTCTGGCCCTGTTTCGGTCGATATGATGGTCTGCGACGAAGACTCTGGTCAACCCGGCATGATCGATGCGATGGAGTCGGTGCATGTGGAAATGGCGTCTCTCTGCTCTGCGCCTGATCTGGACGCCACGGACATGGACATGGCGACTCCGGACAAGGAGGTCAACCCAGTCGGCGCCAGCGTCCCCCTCTACTGGACACATTGGCAGCCTCCGGCCACTAGCAGCCATGTTCCCCAGGCTGCAGCCACACCAATGGTCGACGTACAGATGGGATCCCTCTTTGCTTCTAACGCTCACCTCTGGCGATTTTCCCACGGTCCGGACCTCTGACGGGAAGGGTATACGGACGTGAGGACAGCAACAGGAGCTACTAGAAAGCTCTCTAGGCAAATATCACTAGTACTTTACACTACACAGACTCGATGTCGAACTCCGCGAAGGGAGGGACGACGTCTAAGACAGCGAAACCGACAGCATCGCCGACGACCAGAAGCGCCAGTGAGCGACCTAACACGAGAGCAACAGCCTCGGCGCCGCCAATGGACCTGAAGACGGAGAGAGAGAAGGTGGACACGTACGATAAGGCGTATAAGGTCTTAGTGGGCCGGGCCCTAATCCCAGAAGAGACCCTGCCTTCGGTAGGTGCCCTGGTAGAGGGCCTACGCTTCTGCGCCGAGACGAGCAACCAGGCGCAGGTACGAGAGGCCATCTACGCCTTTGCATCATATGCAGAGGCTATCCGCGACAACCGGCCTGCTGCCAAGGTCCTGGACGACCTACGTCCGATCCTTGTGAAACTCACGGAGAAGAGCGACACCGAGCCCGGGGAACTGGACGAGGACAAGGCCGGCCGTCTCGAGGAGATGGTAGACAGGCAAGCTCAGTCGACTACGGAGCTCAATGGAATGCTGGGGAGGTTGACGGAAGAGGTACGTAAACTCGCTGCATCCCAGAAAAAGCTAGCGAAGGATTTGGAAACGGTGGATGGGCTCCGAGGTGACCTGCAAGGCGCCTTGAAAGAGACACAGGAGGTGCTGAAGGCACCTCCCCCTGTCGTGCATCACGAGCATGTCGCTCCTGTGAGCAACGGAGATGCCTATATGGCTGCTGCAGGGGGACGACCCTCTTATGCGGCTGCCATCCAGCATCAGTTACCCGCTGCGCACGCCTCGACGATGTTGAGGCAGAATGTAAAAGGGCGTCAGATGTTGATCGACGTGAAGTCGAGAACGAGAGAGGACGGAACACCGCTCACCGAGCTGGAACTGGTCACAAAGGCCAATCTTGCGCTCGAACTAATGGCAAATGATGGAGGATTCGTTGCCCCTGAGGGGGCGAAATTCGTGACTGCACAGAAGCTCAAGAACGGGGGTATCCTGTACGAGCTGTCCTCCAAGGAGGTAGTCACCTGGCTGAGGATGGAGAAACATCTGGCCGCCTTTACAGGCAAATTCGGCCTCGAAGCGACGGTGCGAGCTCGCCACTACGCAGTAGTGTGGCAAAACCTGTCGACGGCTTTCGTTCCGAGCGAGCAGGCGTACCGACTGCTCGAAAAGGAGAATGGCTGGGACGAACGAGATCTGATGGTGGTACATTGGATCAAGCCTATTGACAAGCGCAAACTGAACCAACAGACCGCGTATGCGATCGCGAAGTTCAGTAGCGCGAAGAGAGCGAACGATGTCATCGTCAACGGTCTCATGTTCTTCGGCCAGAGACTGAACGCTTGGCGTCTGGTCAAGGAGGCGCGGCGCTGCATGAAGTGCCAGCGCTTGGAGCCGGGCCATATGGCCTCCGACTGTACGGAGACGGCAAAGTGTGGTACGTGCGCTTCCCCGGAACACACAACACAGAAGTGCAAGGTCCCTCCGGGACGCAAGCGCTGGTGTGTGAACTGCGAGGTGGCAGGGCATGCGTCCTGGGAACGCCACTGCCCCTCGTTCATGGAAGCCAACCACAAGATCCAGCGTGCCAACACGCTGGAACAATACCGTTTTTTCCCGATTGCTGACGACCCAACTTCATGGGAACCGCGCTACGTACCGGACCAGCTCCGCTTCCCGTTTCCGGAGGAGGCTGCACCTCAACAGCGCCCCGATATTCTGTCTACAGGCCCACCAGCTGACCCTGGTCGCATGCACCCCGCGCGGGCGAGCCGTCTCGCGACCTCATGGAGTGACGAACCACTCCCAGAGATGAGCGACCAGGGTTGGAAACGAGCAGGCAAAGGCCCTGGCCCGAGCTCTACTACTGATTCATATCGTCCACAGACAACTAGCTTCCGAGCGGCAGGAGGACAACGCCAGTCGACGCTGACGGGCGAGGGCGGATTTACTACACGATCAGCCCCGCCAGCGCGCCCCAGCTCGCGCTCATCGACGAGATCCCAGGAGTATTACACCAACCTTAATGATGATGGAACCTTCTAGGGAACTCAAGATCTGCCAGGCGAATGTGAACAAGTCCAACGTCGCCCAGTGCGCCCTCCTCCATGACGTCGCCGAATTTGACATTGTAGCATTGCAAGAACCTTACATCGATCATCTTGACAACACCCGCGCTGCCGCGGACTGGATCGTAATCTATCCTACCGGTCACAAAGATAATGAGGCTACGTCCCGCTCTGTCACGCTAATTAACAAACGCGTATCTACTAATAGTTGGACAGCGATCCCGATAAAGTCCCCTGACATCACGGCGATCACGCTCCGTCTCACCACGTCTACGATACACATATTTAATGTCTACAATCCCCAAGACAGTAATCTCGCTCAGGCAGTCCTGTCTCGGGAAACACGGAAACTGCTGCGAGACGAGGATGAAGACCCCGAGCGCCACATCCTCTGGCTCGGGGACTTCAACCGACACCACCCGATCTGGGATGACGAACGTAACACGCACCTGTTCACGAACCAGGCGCTGGACCAAGCGGACAAGCTAATAGACATGCTAAGTGTCTTTGACATGCGCATGCTACTCCCGCCAAGTATTCCTACTCTCGAGGCACACGGAACTAAAAATCTTACTCGTCCAGACAACGTCTTCGCATCTGAAGGGCTAGCGGACTGCCTCCTGAAGTGCGACGTTGCCCCTGACTTACGTCCTCCTCACACCGACCACTTTCCCATACGCACCACCTTCCTTCTCGACGTCCCGCGAACTGCACCCCGCAAGTTTCGGAACTTCCGAAAAGTTGACTGGAACGAGTTCAGGACTGAGCTCGCCATACGGGTCGAAGACATACCGACCCCGAATGGACGGATTGAGACGAAGGAGAGTTTTGACGAACTCCTCACCAGGCTCATGGGCGCGCTCACCGAGTCTATCCAGGAGACTGTACCAGAGACGAAGCCGCCACCCTTCGCCAAGAGGTGGTACTCGAAAGAGCTAGACAAGCTCAGGAGGGAGGTCGGACGCCAGGGACGCCGCGCGTTCAAGCACCGCGAGTTCCCGAATCACCCCATACACGCAGAGTACAGGCAGCTCAGGAACAAATACGGTGACCAGGTGCGCGCAGCCAAGAAGTCGCACTGGGACGCCTGGCTTGAAGAAGCGGATGCGAAATCAATCTGGACCGTGGGCAAATTCATCAGAGCAGGGTCGTCAGATGGCAGCAAGAGCAGGGTGCCTCCGCTACACCGCCCAGGCAGCGCCCAGCTGGAACGAGGAAATGAGGCGAAGAGCCAGGTGCTATACGAGACGTTCTTCCCGCAGCCCCCACCCGACCTCGAACTACCAGACCCCGAGGCCGAGCATTACCCGCCCCCCGCCTTCGAGTTCGCACACGTCTCCGACCACCAGATCCACGCGGCCTGTCACCGTCTCAGGGAGTTCAAAGCGCCGGGACCGGACGGGATACCGAATGAAGTGTATAAAAGGTGCGCAGATATATTAGTTCCAATTCTTGGATATCTCTTCCGTGCTACGTTCGACCTGCGCTATTACCCTGAGGAGTGGAAGCTGTCCACGACAGTGGTGTTGCGTAAACCCGGGAAGAGCGACTACTCTGTCGCAAAGGCATACCGTCCCATTGCCCTCATGAGTTGCATGGCAAAAATTCTCTCATCTTGCGTTGCCGAAACAGTGGAGTACGAGCTCGAGAAGCTCAAGCTGTTCCCCAACCTCCACTTCGGAGGTCGAGCTGGTCGTACAACGACCGACTCACTGCATTTGCTGACCAAAACGATCCGTGACGCTTGGCGGGCGAAGAAAGTTGCCTCGGTTCTGTTCCTTGACGTGGAGGCAGCATTCCCAAGTGCAATCCCGGAGCGGCTCTTTCACGAGCTCCGGACGCGAGGGGTACCCAAAGAGGTCGTGGACTGGCTTCGTGAGAAGCTTAAAGGGCGTAAGACACGCCTGACGTTTGACGATTTTATCTCTGACCTCTTCGAAATCCTGAGTGGGATAGACCAAGGGTGCCCACTCTCAGTTCTGCTGTACAAGATTTATAACTCGGTGCTACTCGACTGTGCGGACAGAAAGAGAGGCGAGCTCGCACTCGGTTTCATTGATGATGTGGCCACGATCGCAGTGGGCAAGGACCTAGACGCCACATGTGCGAAACTACGGAGCTACATGGAACGCGCTGGCGGCGCAAAGGAATGGTCCCGAACGCGGAACTCCCGCTTCGAGATCTCGAAGCTATGCCTACTGCACGCTGACCCGAGACTGGCTAAAGATGACATGGGCCCCGCACTGGCACTAGCAGATGGGTCAGTACAACCCTCTGCGGACGCGAAGTTCCTTGGTGTATGGATCGATCGCAAGCTGCGATTCAAGAAGCAAGCCGAGTACGCCCTAAAGAAGGGCACAACTTGGCTGCTTCAGTTCGGACGCCTAGCGCGTCCGAAGCATGGAATCCCCATGAAGCATGTGAAGACACTTTACCTTCAGATGCTCATCCCCGCTATGCTGTATGCGGCGAGTGTATGGATTGTCCCCCAGAGGCAGATGGAGGGCCGGAAGCAGCGCTACGGGTCAGTCGGAGTGATCCGCAAGCTCGAGAGGGTGCACAGACAGGCATGCCTGATGATATCGGGAGCGATGAGATCGACGCCCACAGACTCATTGACCGCACATTTGAACCTTCTTCCCTTCCACCTTCTTGTTGATAAGATGATAATGCACGAAGCTACTAGGTTGTGCACCCTACCCACCTCTCATCCCCTCCACCGTCACGTCAAACAGGCCTCGCGATGGGTCAAGAAACATCGCAGCCCCCTACACGAAGTCTTAGGAGCATACGAGCTCGAACCCGAGGAGATAGAGACCATAGAAGCGGTACGGCTTCCCCCGAGCTGGAGACCGCCTTTCAAGATCTCCATAGCGCCATCGAAGGAGGATGCCGCTGCCGAGGAAAAGGTCTGGGCGAGGAAGGATGGGTGGAGGATATATTCGGACGGCTCAGACATCGATGACGGAGTCGGAGCGGCGGCCGTCCTGGTCATGCCGGAAGGCGAACCCAGAGTCCTTCGATACCATTTAGGTCCCTCGACGAAACACACGGTATACGAGGGCGAAATCGTGGGACTTAACCTTGGAGTCGAGCTGCTCCACCGGGAACTATCGTGCGCGAAAGCGTCAGCAGCGGCGGACAACCTCGCGTGCCTCCACGCGTCGAAGAACCGGAAGCCACATCCCGCACACTACATGATTGACCACCTCCTACGGGCGATTGGACGTCTTGAGAAACGCCACCCGAACGTAGACCTCACTCTAAGATGGGTACCAGGCCACAAAGGAATCGAGGGGAATGAGCTGGCGGACGTAGAGGCGAAGAAGGCGGCGAGAGGAGACAGCAGCCCGGTCGAGGACCTCCCGGGCTGGCTGAAGGGGACACTCCCAGCGAGTCTCTCCAGGGTTAGGCAGACCCAGAACGAGAGACTGGCGCGGATGGCGAAGGAGGAATGGAAGGCGTCTCCGCGGGCTGCACGGATGGATCGAATCGACCCGGATATGCCGTCGAAGACTTATGGGAAGGTGGCGGAGAGGCTACCCCGGAGGCAGGCGAGTATTCTGATCCAATTGCGTACCGAACACGTCCCGCTGCAGAAGTTTTTATTTAGGATCCAGAAGGAGGACACTCCCACATGCCCGTCTTGCAGGACCACACGCGAGACGGTGTACCACTACCTTATGGAGTGTCCCGCCTTCAATGAACAGCGAGACCAACTTGCACGCGACGCGGGCCCAGCCGCCCGCTCGATGAAAGATCTCCTCAACTCAGCGAGCACCATGAGACCCCTCTTCCGATACATACACGACACCGGCCGCTTCGCGGCCGCCTACGGAGACCTAGAGTTGAAAGATGCGAAGGCGAGAGACCGCGCCCAGGGGGCGCGTTGACGATGAACAGCGGCCGACACGCAAAGAACCGAGATCCCCCCCACATCCACAACCCTTTCAGATCGACACATTCCCATTTCAGCTCTCTCACTACACTACAGAACACTCTAGTACTATACCTGCCCTACGCTCCGGCGAACGGCGATGCTCAGCGACCACGGACCATACGATACACACAACGAGAGTAGCATACGTCATGTCTACATAGGGCTTCGCCCTCAGTGACACTAAATGGAATAAACAAACAAACAAACAAACGTACAGATGGCCCCTCGTTCTGTACCTCAGCACTAGGGCACGCGAGCTCCGGGCGCGCCAAGGAAGCACGTCGCGGCCGCGCGTGCTAAGCACTCAACATGCTCGCCTCTCCAACACCGAAGGGACGCCCGTGCCCCTGCAGTCCATCCCTGAATCTGACTCTTTGACGCTGTTCGATGAGCTGGAACAGAGAGAAAGAGGTGTGTGCGCCGTCTGCGCGATGCCGAGATCGTCGCTGATCCCCTTCAGGCACTGTTCAGACTACTCAGACAGGCGATCGCTCTCGCTTGAGGTCCACATACGGGCGGGCGGGGGAAGTAGAGGCTCAGCTGACCGTTGCTAGTTCATGGACCGTGAGCCCTCATAGCGCTCACGGTACTTGAACTAGCAACGGTCAACAAGCAAACGGATACATTCGCAAATACTTTCGGTTCCTTCTCAATTATCTGGATCTTGGTTCGTGCAGTCATCTACTATCTATTACTTAAGATGTCTGGACAGGTACACTTATTCACCTGTCGTTATCCGCACAATTGCTCAAGTGACTATCTTGACTTTTGTCAACACCTTGATCACGGCTATTTCATGTTCGTCCAGACATCCTATTTCACGACCTCTCAAGTCATGCATCATCATCGTCAGGCACATGCATCTCACACGTCGTGCATATACCCACTTGGTTCGTCTTCTTGATTTCTGACGTGTCTCTCTGCTGACACCTTATTCTTGTGACAGCGGTGACAAGTAACATTGTGCGGAGCACGTCGCTACCTCACCTACTTGTATCATGCGAAGACGATCGAATACCTGATGCTTCGGCCTTGTGCTTCAGAGGGTATGCAGCACCTCGAGTGCGTTTTTGAACAGCCTCGACACACCGATCCATTCCCCTTGATTCATGTCTATTCTGAAACCTGGACTCAACTACGGTGTATCCTTGGAATTGTCGGGTGCTAGAACATGTCGTCTGCGTATCGGGCTGGATGTTCCTGATACAGAAGAGCGTACTACTACAGATACCCAACGCTTTTATGCTACTCCGAGTGGTCTCCATCGTCCCCATCGTCCGTATCCTCACATCGCCGCCTCAGCCTTTCCGCAATCACGCACTCCAGGACTTCTCTCCCAATGATCGTCTGGAATATCTCATCTGAGGGATCAAAGTCATCGAGAGTACCCTCCTCGTCAAGACCGTTCTCCACAAGATATGCATTGACCGTTTGAGGGTCGTAGTCGGTCTGAATGTCCCCGCCGATGAAGTGAACGCATAACGTGTGGCGAAAATGCTCGCGGAAGGTGTGTGAGGCAGAACCTTTCGGAATTACTTCGAGATGAGCAGGTAGGCCGGCGTGCATCGCTGTTTCGTCGAAGATGCGGATTCGGTTCTCGTGCTGGAGAAATCAGAATGGGAGCCCTGGTAAGCACATGAGTGCCGACTGAGGCATTCATCAACTGGCATCAACGTCAACGCTGAACGCATTCGCATGCCACAATTTATAGATGTCATCCCGCACGCTCATGAGGTTGTCAGGATTTTGGAAACCTTCGGTTCGCGGGAAGAACGGCCTTTCCGCGCTGAGCGTTGTGATCTGAAACCGTGGTCAATACTACGCAACCCAATGTCGTTGGACTAATATACGTACGTAGCGCGCCATCCCTGGAGGGTATATCCAACGCACGTCCACGGGACCGCTATCCATAGCCGTACATCTTGTGAATATACACTTGCCGCCATCACGCCTGGAGACCTCCTCGCGAAACGGAGCCGGTATGTCGTACTATGTGATTCCGGCGTCCGAAGTCAATGGGGCACAGCGGATGGGAACGGACACCAAAAGCTCACCCGCGCTAAGCTCTCGAGACCACCAGGCATTCGCGAGGCCTCGAACGCGATCTTCCTCGTCTCCAGTGACACGACGTGATAAGAGCCATTAAAGGGAAGCCGCCGGACGATGAACGACCCTCGATCTACGCAGGGTAGGACACCTCAGCTGAGCACTCGGTACACGGTGGCTAGGCCTGAGTGCGTGCGATACCTACCCAAGTAGAAGCATAATCTCCCAACTCTAGAGCCTCGGAGGGCGGGACAGCCTCCAACGGGTCAGGGTAGTACTGGAACGGGGCCATTCGGTGCAACGACACGCGGCGCACATCCATGGCGCTCGCGCCACCAAGACCAGCGAGCATGTTGACCCAACGGAGAAGAGTGCCCGCCGTAACGGGACCGACAACGCTCGAATTGGAGCCTGAAACAGCAGCGGGAGTCAGTAAGACGTTCGCAACACGTCGGCGCGGGATCATACAGGCTATCAGCTCGGACAGAGGGGTCGAAGGCCACCATATGAAGATATCGGCGTGGCGCAACTGCGACAGCCTGGATGCATGCGCCCGGGATGTAGGCATCTCGCGGATGGATGGCTTGAAGCTCGCGTGCTGCGAATTCGGAAATTGGCGGTGTTGTATGCCAACGGATGCGAGTGAGGCCTGAGCTTCACTGTCACAAAATGTTTCCACCGCGTTGAGGTGGAACTAGAGTCTGTATAGAAATTATGTAAGACGTACTCTATCGATGTGAACCACGTTACTTACTCACATGCCAATGACGCTAAAGTCTCTGGCGACTCTCCGCCAAGCGGCGCAAGCGACCAGGTGGAGGTAGAGGGCATACCACTGTATCGAAGTTCCACACAACAAAATTCACAGTGCGCGCAGACAGTGTGCGGATAGACACATCCAGAATCTCCGTGGCCGTGTATTCCTTCCAGGCATCCAAAGATGACACATCTACGCCGATACAACAGTCCCACAGCGCTCGAACCCACAAGCAGACCAGTATACGACAGACACACCCTCGGCTCGCCCGTCTCGTGCCGACCTCGTTGAAGTCTGTCCGAGACTCAGAGGCGAACCATTACGCAGACAATCGGAACAGACAATGTAGACCATGCCAACTCGAGCATGCCAAGTCGCTGCGTCTCACAGCACGACGAAAAGTACCCAATCCAACTCGTCGCTAGCACTCACCACCCACCCTACAGAAACTCGCTCGGATGCCTCCACTCCGCGTCCTCGCACCCATACGACTGCAGCCACTCCCGCACGTTCCAATGCCCCCGCGCCTCCGGCCATGCCTGCAGCCGCACCCGGCCGTCCTCGCGCTCGACGGTATAATAGTCGTCGTCCACGCGCGCGACGCGCACCGTCGGGAACCCCGCGTCGACCACCGCCGCCGCGTCCGCGACGTCGAACTGCGACAGCCCGATGAACTGCAGGTTCGGCGGGAGGCCCGGACGCATTTGCTGGAGGACGGCGAATGGAGATCGAACGAAGGGGCAGAGTGGGTCAATGAGGCTTGCGAATACGAGAGAGGAAGGAGCGTACCGAGACGAACCCAAGCGCTTCCGTAGACGACTCCGCCTGCAGCGAGAGCGCGATGACGCCGCGGGGCACGAGCCACATCGCCACCGCCGCAGCGACGTCCTTCGGGAGCGTCGCCGTCAGCGTCCTCAGCTCCGTCAAGCTCGGGAGCACGCCCCACACACCCGCGTCGTACCCCAGCCGTTTCTGCGCCCAATTCGCGCTCGGCACCGACAGCACCAGCGTCTTGAGCGTCCGCCGATCGCGCAGGAACGCCGAGATCGCGGGGAAGAGGTCGTGGTCGTTCACGTTGTACCCGAGGAGGCTGAACTCGAAGTGGCGGAGGAACGGGAGCGCGCGCGCCGTGGCGCCCTCGCGGAACTGCGCGGACGCGTTGCAGTTGAGCACGCATTGCAGGCGGAGGGACTCCAGCTGGTGCCCGTTGCTCAGGATGTCCGAGAACGCGCGCGACTCGGAGGGGAAGAGGCCGAGGAAGTCGAGGTGCGTCAGGTTTCGGATCGAGAGCGTCTCGGTGGGGAACGTCCAGTGCTGGTTGTGCAGGAATATGGAGCGGATGGACGCCTTGTTCTGCATGAGGAACTCCTGCACGTCCGCAGGGTTGCCCCCCGTCGAGACGTACGAGAACTGCGTGATGTGCCGGAAGCGTGGGAACTGCAGCTCCGCGGTCCCGTCGAGCGGCCTGTACGGATACGGACGAGTTATAACGGTCGTGCGGGTTCCTATTTCATATGGAGTGGACCCACATTAGAGACATCCCACGTAACCGGTGATTCGCGCCTTCGAGGATTCGCAGGAAGGCGAGCATCTCGCGCAGTCGCATTGAACAGTGGACGTTCTTCAGGTTGGACAATTTTGGTAATGCGTTCGCCAGCATGCCTGCGACGCCTGAGTCACCCCAGACGGCACGACAACATCGACTCGCTCACCCGTCTGGAAGGTCATCGGCGATACATCGCGTCCTTGGTAGAATACCCGCAACGTCTTGACATGCTTCGCAAACTCCTTGTCGACGATGATACGTGTCAGGATGTCGGCGCTTTTCTGCGACTCCCTCTTATCCGGTACTGAGGGCAACATTCAACACGACACCCGCCGCCCAGCCTCGTCCAGCTCACCGAAAAACAGATCGATCTTTCGAAACAAGAGCTCGCTTGCGATACGTGACAGGATGTGCGGGACGAGGAGAAGGTTTTTGAGATCGCGTGGCGGGAGCCATCGTGCAATCTCCCGCCATATTTCAGTCGAGAAGCCCGGGGTCGTATGCGGCTGGACCAACGACTGGGCATCGGAAGAATCACCCATCATTAGCATTCGACCCGTGGACGGCATTCACGGTTACATGGAGGGATGAGGAAAAGGGGACCGACGCACCTTGCCCGAATTCGTGACATGATGGACCATAAGCGCCTTGGCTTCTGGGTGTTCAGGCTCGATGGCCATGACAGCCTGGAGGTCTGCGGGGGACGCCGGGAAGGCGCGTGGTAAGCCGAAACGACCGTCTAGAATGGACCAGATTCCATGCCGACCTTGGTGGGCGCCGACGTGAAGTCCGACAGCAAGCCTAGCCCTGGCGCGTATCAAGCGGGCTTTGGCAGCATTGGCGGTGGACAGCCCGCTCAGCGAGAGGCAGGACTGGACTGCGTTCTCGATGAGCATTCTAGAGCTGGCGGGCAGGGACGAATAGAAATCAGCGATGAGGCGACTACAAATTACTAGACCCGCTAGACCAACCGCTCAAAGGGAAGATGTCCCATGGCGTATAGAAGCACATCTGCCTTCTGTTCGTCTGAGAGACTTGCGGTGACATCTCGGATGCATGCGTCAATGATTTTTGGGTTGAAGACGCTCATGGCCGGAGGGGGAAGGATCAACGACCACGATAGGAGGTGAGGATCAAGGAGGCAAGGCTGCTAGAGGGCAAGTGACGAGGGATATAGCCCGACGCTGTGTGAGCGATCTCGCAGCCTCGTAACACGCCGGGTGAACGTCGGACCAGGCGACGAGTAAAAGCGACCGCACGCGCGAACGTTGAACGCTGGTGTCCACCGCGTTCCTCACAGCTTCCAGATGCTGCTGCGTGGGATGCGAACATGGTGGTCAATGCAGACGTACACATGTGGGCTCTGTGAAACACCCACAAACGCAGGAGAACGAGGGAGGACTTATATGAGGCAGCAGGCGGGGGCAGGGCGTCCGGGCGTGGTGGTGGTCCAGATGGTATAAGAACGCGGCCAGCTCTGCCTGGCCTTCCCATGAGTACCCTCCCAGTCGTCCGTGCCGCCGGATCCTCCTCGTGATCCGGCCCTTGCCGGTTCGCGTCAACGGCGACTCAGCGCGTCTCGTCTTCGAATGTGAAATGAGGTCGTGCAATGGGGTCGTGCACTGACAACTGTTGTCAGGAATCAGAGGTTTGGGCACCGTGCTGCATCTCTTAGCCCTGGAAACATACACACAAGGTGTTTCGACGCACCTCTCCAACACTTCTCTCCTATGCTGCGGGCAAAAAAGTGCTAAAGTACGCCCATTCGAAGCAGGCCGATCGACGCAAGCTGCAGGCAAGTTTTCGGTAGCTCGTCCAGGCAGAATCCAGACAGAGCGAGGACGTCGTGGTTGGGGACAAGGGGGAAGCTCTGCCGCTCTGGTGCACGTCATCTTATATACCCGCCACCGCATTCGACGCTTGACAGATTCGGAAGTATCGTAGAATCAATCGAACACCCCCGGGAGCTTCATTCACCCGCCGGCCTGCCCCAGAGGAAACATCGCTCGCACACCGAGACCACGGCCTCCAGCCACGGTGTCGGCGTGATCGCCGTTCCATCGGAAATGCGTGAACGGAGGAACCGCAACTTGGACGAATGTGGAAGGCAGCTTGCCTCGTTGGGAAGGTGCGGTCTATCAAACTCACGGATGTTGTCTCGCTCAGACATCACCAGACGCCATTGGATGCATTGACGGCTCTCGGTTGGAATGTTGCCGGGCTACGCGCCTCTCTCAAAGTAGAGTGGCCAGTGAACGCCGCTGTGTGACAAACTTAGCACTTACCATTTCATACATACGAAGGCGGCTCGGCCGGTCCCGAAGGTACCGCTATTGTCCCCCACGCACGCGGAGGAGTAGGCTCCGTACTTGCTTCATACCGTCAAAGATTAATGGACAAGCGCAGAGATATAAACAAAACCCGCAGAAGGGAAAGTCTCGCTCTTTGGCAAGTCGTCGCAGCAGTAGAAGACCGTCCTCTCCCCTACTCAAAGAGGGAATCTTTAGGGCCTGCCTAGGGGAGACTACTGCAGCAGGAGTCCAGACCAAGAAGACAAACGGGGCCGCTTCTAGGGAACCTTCACAGTACCATGTCGAGGTACAGAACAGGCACAGACGGGTCTGCGGAAGATGATTCCGTGGCTCTGGTAATCGTACACCACATGTATCGGGAGGCACCAGCACCGAAGGTCGGCTTTCGAAGCATACAGATAGGCACACTCGCCCGGACACGACACCACGACACTCACACGATCTGCACCTCACCGCGACCTTCGGCGAGCATGCTTAAGTGTACACCCGACGACTTGAAGACGCAGAGTTGATGAAGACCAATTATAATTTTCGGAGCGGCGTAGTCGCGTCAGTCCGTCCAGACGTATCGTCCTACTACACTGCATGCCATAATCTGACAAAAATGCAACGTCAGACGCAGCGCAGATGATGGAGGGAGTAAGGGCGCACCTAGCTCTAAGATTACGTCGGTACGTGGAGGTGCAACCTCTACTTGAGCTTCGCGAACAGCTTGGGTGCGACGCAGCCCTGGAAAAAAGACGAGTCAGCTTACGCACATGCAAGGATTGGGTCGTAGGAACGTACGTCGACGCAGTGCATCATGCTTGAACGGACCAGATCAGCCCGGAACACGATGACATATGACGGAAGGAGACTCACTGGTCTGTTTGAACGAAAGACAGGCGTTCGTGACAGGTCAGCGGGTAGCCCAAACAAAATGACAAGATACGCACAGCTGCACGCAAGAAACCCGCAGCGCTCAGCACACGCACAGCATCTCAAGAAAGAAAAAAAGCGACGCACAATTCCTCAATGCAGTCCTCGTGCTTGTGGCCGTTGCCGGAGCTGACCCTCTCCTCGCAGTGCCGGAAGTGCTCCGTCGCCGACTTGCACTTCGCCGACTCCTCGCACTCTTCGCGGAGCGCAGGCAGGATCTACCACCCCCCAGCCCGCTCAGCCACAGCGCCCCACCCAGAAAAATAACCAACGCACGTCCTCCGGCTCCTCTTCCTCTTCCTCCGCAGCCTCAGCCTCACCCCCCTCTTCCGCACTCTCCGGCTCGTCAGGCGTCACCTCCTCCTTATGCTCCTCCACCTCCGGGGCGGCGCGTCCGCGTGCGCGACGGGCAGGAATGACGAGAAAAACGACGACAGGCTGCTCATGGCAAGATAGCAACGCAGGTTGCGTGAACGAAATGAGGACGGCCGGTGACGAGGGGGACGGAAAGAGTCGCGTTGGGTGAGCGGCAATGCCCGAGCCCCGGCCGCACGTTGCCGGACCCGGGTGCGTACTTGGGAGCCAATCAGAGGCAGGCGTTTACGACTATGGAGGGTGCGCGAGTTGGTGTGCGCATAAGTTATTTGGGATTCGGAGGATGCTCGAAAAATTGTCGCTACATGTAGAGGGGACCTACTCTCTGCATGTACACGAGACGAACATCGGTACGATGATATATATTCATCTTGACTTACAAGAGGATCAGCCAAGTTCCAACACAGTAACCATCCCCTGCGACGACGCCAACGCCACCACGCCCAACTCCTCCACATAGTCCATCGCGGTCCAATTCCCCGCACTCCCGCTCGCCGCCCGGCGCACATACACCGTCCGCGCCCTCACACCGCTTCCCCTCCCCGCACCGGCATCCTCGCCCCCATCCCCATCCCCGCCTTCCACATCGAGCATGGGCCCCGCGAACATCGCGCCTGCAAGCACCTCTGGCTGCTGTGCAGTCAGCCCCGCACCCGCCACCTCCGACTGGTGCACGTCCAGCGCGGTGAGGTCGGCGCTCCGCGCCCCGCGCGGCATTATCCACACGGCGGTGCCGTTCGGCCCGAGGACGATGTCCGTGCAGCGCAGGATGCCGCGCACGGACGGCGAGGAGAGGCCCGAGTAGACGGGCGGAAAGATGTAGGGAGCCGGCGGATGGTGAATGTCCTCGCCGGAGCTTGCAGATGTGGAGGGGTCTTCGTTAGTGTCCGTGGTCGGGTCCGCTGTGTACGCGGGGTTGGGCTCGAGCACGAAGAGGTCGAGCATGTGCGTGTCGGACATCCAAGGGTCGTCACTCTCCGCGCGCAGGAGGATGGAGAGCGGCTTGATAGAACCGTCTACATCTTGCCGGCGCGTTTGCACGTTCACGCTGACTCCGTCGATCCAGCCGAAGGAGTAACGAGCGAGCGGACGATAACTCGGGCACGGCTCATGGGGAGGTCGCAGGACAGGCTCCGGGAACAGCTCGATGGACCGCGCGCGCACCACCAGGATGCTCTTGTGTGCGAACACGACTTGAAGACACCGGTTGTACTGCCCGCCGAATACACGTGAGCGAATGCGCCGCATTGAGACAGGACGGCACCCCTCACTCTCACTTACCTGGAAGTTCAGGTCGACAGGTTCGTCGGCACCTTGGAGGTGTGCTATTTCACCCGTTCTCCAATTTGTGATAACTGTCTGAGATGATTCGTCACCGTACGCCAATAGGTCGCCCTGCAGTGCAATAGGTCTCATGGCAGCGTCGATCACACCCAGGGACTGCAAGGCATCACTGCCTTTCGTGTCCTTCGCAAGTGACAGTAACTCGATGCGCTGCCGCCTGTCGCGAGAGGATCAGCACAAACGTCTATTTTACACGCGAGTGAATATACGCACTCCCCGTGAGTAGAAGTCGCGATGACCGCGTCCGACTCCGCATCTGAATTCACCACCAGCCCGGTGATGATCGTACTCTTGGGTGACCACTTCGCAATCATCCGCACGCCAGCGCCTCCAAAGGATGTCTCCCAGCAAGTGATAACCGACCAGATGCCCTTGGACAGCGTCGCAAGCCGTCGTCCGTCGTGCCCAGGCAAGAACCGCACGTCCGAGACCCCCGTCCCGAAGCTCGCATGGAAGTCGCCCGCCTCCCTCAGCGGCACCTCTGGCGACGACCAAAACGCACCAATCCGTATCGCGCGTCGGACTGCGTGTTCGAGCTGCGCCGTGTCCATGCTGGCGAGCTGGCGGCGAGGGAAGGGATGCCCGGCGGAGAGCACCTGGGCGATGTACGCGTTGCGCCAGACGACGCGTGTGCGCGAGATGAGCTGCATGCGCCTGCACGTCTGCCGGGGCGGTGTCACTCGGCCATAGACCTTGGGATGGGAGGGTGCACACGACACACCTGCCTCATCGCGAGGATAGAGCGCACGGACAGAAAGCTGAAGAGGTGAATGAGAGTATCATCGTCGACATCGGACATGCGCATCGCCCAACGTCTTTGGCGAGCAAATGGATAAATCTATCTAGCACTTCGAATCTTGCTGTGGTACGTCGTGTCTGCGTCGACTCTGCGAGGATACAAGTAGTGCAAGGAGCACGCCGTGATGTGATTGTCGATCCCCTCAAGCTGTGGCGCCGCACAGTGTAACGGACACGGCAATACCCGCTCCCTTCTCACGCCTCCTCGCCGTATAAATTCCCGCCAGCGCGCATTTTGCTCTTCATATCCTTCCACGATCATAAACGCCCATGATGAGACTTTCAGCAGCGAAATGAGCACGACCGTCTTCGGACGCGTCGGCGTTGACATCGCTCGTTCGGCACTTTACCTTGTTACATTGAAAGGGACGAGCTTCGTGGATCTGAGGGCGTTCTTTGACGTGGAGGATTGGGCAGTGGTGTAGTTTTTGTATTTTGTACGGTCTTCAATGGACATGTGAGAACTACTTTTCATATGTGCAGGGGTCTCATTTGGAATACGAGCAGGGATGCTGGAGCTCGTCGATGATCAGGCCCTAATCAATGGATGGTATCTTGTGTCGAGTTTGGCATCGTTGTGCGTGATCAAGCTCAAGGCCGACGAATGTCCACGAGTTGTCCGCGAGCATCCTCCTCATTTATGACTGTCAAACGGTCATCATAGCACGCCGCAGTGCTGGCCGTTGATTCCATCATATTGCGGACGGTTAGCTTAAAGTTACAGACTTCGCGACTCGACAAACCACTTTGACTCACGCATACTGAGTACCACTGAGCAGCGGGACGAATACATGTTTTGGGCAAAGATGAAGCTTTCTGCGGGCCTGTGCAACAAGGTCGAAGTATTATCAGTACTAATTTGTGTGCACGACTTGAGCTTGAACGCGTGGTGTGTTACACACTATGAATAACGTATTGCATCCACCAGGGAGACTATGGCGTACCGTTTGATGCAAAAATGAATCACCCCTACATGAATCGGAAACACCCCCTACATATGTTCGCCACCCACTGCATACACTTCCGCAACACAGCTACATACATTCCCGCTACCCACACAGTACTACAATATATTTCGGTACGGACCCCACTACATGTTCTGCAACTGACTACCCTACATATATCGCGCCGTCATTACGTAATCATCCATTCTCAGTAAGTCCTTTCTATGGACTCAGTTACATAGCTTTCTTCCCCCCATCGAGCGAATGGGCAGAACCGCCGCTCGGCTTGTACAACGCTCATTGCTAGCATCAACCCGCTAGGCCCGCTCGATGTTGAGTGTCGCGAGCCCGCGCTGAGTCGATGGTCGGTGCTCCGGGCGCTAGCGCACAGCGCGCTGCTCTCGACCGCCACGACCATTGCCACTCCCGCAACTCTGCCACCACGACCACCCAGCCTCTCATCAAGGTGCTCGCACTGTCCCAACAGGCAAGCGAGCTGAAGTCAGCGACAATCCTGAACTGCCGCCAGCTTAGTTAGGAGCACCTGACAACCCCTCTGCGCGCGGTACAAGACCGGTGCATCCTTCCTCTCCCGGGCCTCAAAAGCCACCCGGGGACCTCCACTCGACCCTCTCACCTCCTCTCTCGTATCTGGCGACGTCTCTTCAGCTCCCGCGGCTCTGGCGACACGCAACAAGGCCGCGCGGCTCCGGACGTGCACGACCCGTGTGCAAGCCCAGCGCCGAGCAACAACACTGCTCAGACCACCGAGAACGCCGCGAGAGAGATGCAGAAGGAGGAAGGGGAGAAAGGCAGGAAGAGATAAGAGGGGGAAGGGCGCGGGACGAGCAGAAAAGACGAGCATGAAGGCTCGGATACCGCAGGTACGCCCTCGATCCCGCCTCGCCGTCCCCGCTCCCAGTGCCCACGCCAGTAGGCGTATCGACGCACGAGGCATCCGTCGTGCATCCTACTGGCCACGAACACGGCACGCCCGACTTTCGGGACGACCTCTGTGTCGTACCCACCACGTTGCACGGCAACATGGGGGACGCACAGAGCTGCGCGTCCGACGTGCCCGTGTCATCGACACTGCCCGCGCCAGCAGGCGTACCAACGAGCAAGAAGCCGTGGTGCGCTCTGCTGGCCAAGAAGACAGCGTCTTCGACTTCCGGGACGACCTCAGCGCCGTACCCGGCGTTCCCCAGGGCAACACGTCGGACGCGCATCGCTGCACGTCTGACGCGCCCCGTTCTCCTACGAACCACCACACAGACGGTACGTCGAGCACACCACCCGATGTACCCGCTGTCGACGAGAATGACGCAACGCCCGATGTACTAGCAAATGTACCCGGCATGCTCGTCGGCATCTCATGCGCGACCGATGGCCCCGAGGTACACTCTGCAAAGGTGCACCCGGTACGCACGTCACCGGCTCCAGTGCCCGAGTCGGGAAGTAGCACGACGGACAACAAGGTCGTCGCGCACTTCTCTGACGTTCAAGTCGGCGCACTGGACCTGAGCAGTAGCACGACCACCGTGTCTGCTGCCCCCACTTCGCGAGGCGGCGTGTCTGGAGAGCCTTCGAGCTCTACCACACCGCCTCTTCCTATACTTCTACCACAGCACGCTGCGGATACGTCGAGCCCTCTGCTTGATGCATCCACCGCTGCTCTTTCTCTGAACACGCGCAATGTACGGCCACCCGTGCTCGCCGCCATCCAACACGCCCCTACTCGGCGTAGCGACGCACCCGGAGAACATGCTAGTTCTACCGGGTCGTCCTATTGATCCTCTACACCACGTCCGAGTCGTGTTGCGCATATGTCGAGCCCGCCGCTCGACGTACACACAGCCGACTTCCAGGGTGCGCGCGACGCATCCATGAGCGTACTCGCCACGACCTATCATTCCCGTGTCAATGGACACGAGTCTGCCCCCGGCACCGATGTATGGTACTACGAGCACCGAGCTCGCTGCACCCGGTATTGGCGACCTTACTGGGGTAGCGAATCCTCATAACGGCCTGGCTAATGACCCGGGTGCCGCCACGACGCACGACGTGTTCGGCGTGCTACCCAGCACGACCGACGCATCTGGCTTCATCGCAAAGACACGATTGTCGTCTACGCCGAGCCCGTCGCTCTGCGTGCACGACAAGACCGACATTCGCAACCATGACCAGGTCGCCGTCGACGTACCCAGACGCACGTCAGCGACGTCTCCTTCGTCAAGGTGCGAGTCCATCATCGATACTATGCCCTGCGACGCAGCCGGAGTGCAATCAAGCACGCTCGGCGCGTCCACATCTACCTTCAAGGCATACTCGTCGAGTACGGCGAGTTCATCACTCACCATGCACAGCAAGCCCACCACCTGCGATGACGTCGCCATCGACGCGCCCAGAAGTACGTCGATCGACGCATCCACATCGATGTATACCAACATCAGCGACGACGCCGCGATCGACACGCTCAAAAGCTCGTCGATCAGCTTGTCGACACTGCGGCCCACATCAGCGTCGACCTCCACCTCAACGGGATGCAAGGCTCCGTAGTCGACATTGGCCATGTCGTCCAGCATCAAGGATCCGTCCGACGGCCTGGCTAACGAGCCCAGCGCTGTCGCGACGCTCGACGTGTTCGGCGTGCAGCTCAGCATGACCGACGTGTCGTACGCCTTTCATGCGACATCCATCCATCATATAGGAATTACGTCGACTCGGAGCTCGAGGCTTGATGTATTATCTGTCGATGAGTCTTCGAATGCACGGTCCGCACGCTTGTTCGTGCCTACTGATATCCGTCAAGCTTATGCCTTGATGCGCACGCATTCGGTACCCATCCCAGTAGATGGTACAGCGAACAATGAGTTCGTTGCACCTGCTGCTGGCGATTCAGTCAGGGTACTGAATCTTCGCGATGAGTTGGTCAACGAGCCCACCGTCACGAAGTACGACGTGTCCGGAGTGCAAACGAGCACGACCGGCGCGTCTTCTTCATATACTACAACACCTGCTCTTCGTACAGAGAGCACGCCGAGCTCGAGGCTTGACGTGTTCACTGTTGACGAGCCTAGCAACGCGCGCAACGCACGCTCTAACGTGCTCGCCGCGTATCTCAAACCCCATGTACTGGGTACGTCGAGCAACAGCTCGCTCGATGTACACTGTATTGATCAAATTCCTTCTGCAACGATGGAGGAGGGGGAAGGGATTGCCCGCGGTTTTCGGTCCGAGACCAAGGACTCAAGACAAGCCGAAATACCTGCAATACAAGGAGTTCCGACCGACGTGCAGAGAAGCACGTTGATCGCTATACCGATGTCTGGCATGTCTGGGCTGTATCCTACGCCCAGCGATGCTGTCGACGCGTGATCAAGCACGGTCGACGCGTCTACCCCCACTTCCACGGTCAAGACATGTTCGTCGAGTACAGCAAGCTCAACGATCACCGCACATGGCGAGCACAACACTCTCGATGATGTCGCCATCGATGTACCTCTGAGCACGTCGATCGACTCATCCGCATTGTCGATCACACCTACTCCGACAAGGGGCAAGACCAGCCCGGTCAAGGCTCCGTCAAGCGACGCAGTCAGCGTGCGATTGAGCACGACTGGCTCGTCCTCCTCTATCAAGATGCTGTCATCGAGCAGAGCGAGCCCTTCGCTCGCTGCATATGGCGAGACCGACACCGGTGACAACGCCGTGATCAACGCGCCCAAAAGCTTGTCGATCAGCTCATCGACATCGCGGCCTGCACCAGCGTCGACTGCCTCTACGTCAACGGGATGCAAGGCTCCGGATTTGACACTGGCCATGTCGTCCAGCCTCAAGAACTCGGCCATGATGGACGAGAGCTCGACGAAGGACAGTACATCCAACTTAAAGGATGTACTGACTCCGTCAGCATCGCCATCAACGAGTACTGTGACTCGCCCGCAAGATGAGCTGTCTCACTCAAGCTCGTACGAGCGGTACAGGCCTCCCGCACTACGTGATCAGGCCCCAGTCCGTGCACACCAGGAGTCAAGCTCGCAGGCGCAGGAACCTTCGGCCGACGAGCAAGGCCAAAACCGGCCTGCGCGCTGCACGTACGAGGAGCTGAGCTCGAACGTGCGCCCTACATCCTCCATCAAGACGTTGTCGCCGAGCATAGCGAGCTCGTCGACACCACTGCACACGTCAGCTTCGACAATCCGTGGGCACGACGGCGTGAAGAAACACAGTACACCCACTCTGTTGGATGTACTGCCATCTTCACGGTTGCCAGTCTTGTCGAAGACTAGGAAGCCGGGCATGTCGTCCGACACAGGGACGAGCAAGTCCGTCAGCTTCGATCGCGGAAACCCACGCGGACGCAAGTCCAACCTTGGCGCATTTGTGTCGAGTCCCTACACGTTGGGTACCCGCTGCACGTACGAAGAACTGATCTGGCATGCGTGCATGACCTCGACCACCAAGACCACCAAGCAGGTCATCGAGCAATCAATGAGGCCCAGTACATCCGAGTCGCCAGATGTACTGACCTCATCGTATGTACTCGATGGCTGAGCTGGAATCAAAGTGCCTGCCAGTGGGGCTCATCGCCTGTTACTCGTCAGCTGGCAAGCGGGCGAGTACGAGTACGAGTACGGCACAGATAGAGTCACCTCACCTGTCTCTGAGGTGGTGGCTACCTCACCTCGCATGTACATAGACCAGGTATTACGCCACAAGAGGCACGATACATCTACGATGGGCGTACCATCCTCGTCGCGCTTGACAGCAAGGCTGACCTCAACAAAATGCTCACATCCTCCACCGGAACGCGAGTAACCTTCCATGCGACCAGACAGTCATCGCACACACAAGGAGTCGACCTCGCATGGGCATGACAAGGCTGGCACCTTCACCGATAATCTGTCCACTGAGCACCACGCTCTCGAGCAGCTGCTTCACCTTCTCCATTGAGATCCTCACATAGAACGGTTTGAACGTTCAACGGAATGGTATTCATCCCCTTCATATACATAGAACACCTGTCCGTTGACTGTGAAACACCACTGATCACCCGGCATGATCCCCCTGTTTGTTAGGGCTCGGCGGTTTGAGTCCTGGACACAAGGGGCGGGCTACCCGGCGAGACTAACTATGGTGGTCGCTCGGCGACCGGGGCAGATGAGTTGATGAATCGTGAGGTCGTTAAGGGGGCGTAGAACCCGTAGAGGTCGTACGAGGACTGTTGAGTCCTCGTTAAGGTCGTTCACGCGGCTGTTGAGCTCGCGCTGGCAGTCGGCAACGAGCCGGACTGTAAGGGAGTCGGCGACGAGCCTATCCCAGGTGCAGTGACGAGCTAACACCTTTGAGACGAGAGCACGACGAGCACTCTTGTTGATGGCCAATCCCGCAGTCATACAGCGTGAATAGTTCGCGCGCGGACGATATGGTTGGGAGTAAAAGGCTGCTTTCCATTTTGGTAAAGCGCGCGCCTTCGGCGAGACGCACGCCTAAGTGTACAAGATAGGAACAGAATAAGTAAATACTGTATGCGTCGTAAGTATCTAGGCTCGGGCAGTGAATACATGCGGGTCACGGTTAAGTATTGTACGTAGCACGGAAGAGATTTATATACGCCATCTTAATCCTGTCTGTAGTGTCCGTAACACTGTTCACAATGTCCTCTTCGCTATACAGTATCTGGAGCAGCTTGATCATCTGAAATCCGGAGTGCACCGTAGGTCGACGTCTCCGTACACTGCCGCGAAGCGGCAGGTCTCATGGATGTATTGGAAGAGACATCGTACAGCCTTGAGACGGGTGAGAAGGGTCGCGATGGAGGTTGTGACAGGTCTGAGGTCGGACGCGAGGCACACACATTGTTCATTGTATGTTGGGCAGATTAGCAGGTAGTGGTAAGTACAGTTAGAAAGACGTGCCAGTCGTGCGTCGTGTGCCGCGACAACGCTGGACTCGTTAGCCAGGCGGTCAACGGTGTCAGTGGCTCCGTAGAGTTGCCAACACCGGGTGCAGCGAGCTCGGTGCTCGTTGTACCACACATCGGTGTGGGCAGCAGACTCGGAGAAGTCGAGATGGGAATGGGCAGGATAGCGCCGAGCACGGGCAGACGCACATCACGCATGCCCTGAGGGAAAGCGACAGGGGATACATCAGCGATGAGCTCGATGTATCCACCGCGTGCGGTGGTATCGAAATACAATGAGACGGCCCGGCAGAACTAGGGGCCTCTCCGGGCGTGTCGTCAGCAGACACACTTGTAGTGCTGCTGCACAGGCCCACCACTCCATCTTTGACGTCAGGGAGGCACACAACGAACTCGTTGTTCGTCATGCTGCCTTCCGACGCGGGCGTTGCGGCCATGATGTGCGTACGGGGTCCACCATCGTGGAGTGTACTGTGTACACCGGTGCCGCCGCTCGCGCATGAGGAGTCGGCAAGCGCGCTGGGTACATTTGCGAATACACCGGGCGCATCGTCGTTCTCGCTGACAGCGTGTACATCAAGTGGTAGGCTCGATGTACCCATTGTGCAGCAGATCGTAGATGGATGGGGCACGTCAGACGTGCAGCAATGTACGTCCGACATGCTATCCTGCGGAACGTCGGGTACGACCATGAGGTCGGTCCCGGAAGATGGACATGCCATCTTCGTGGCCAGCAGAGCGTACAACGGGCTTCGTGCTCGTTTGTACACCTGCTGGCGCGGGCAGTGTCGATGACACGGGCACGTCGGACGCGCAGCTCTGTGCATCCGCCGTGTTGCCGTGCAACGTGGTGGGTACGACACAGAGGTCATCCCGAAAGTCGGGCGTGCCGTGTTCGTGGCCAGCAGGACGCACGACGGACGCCTCGTGCGTCAATATGCCTGCCGGCGTGGGCACTGAGAGCGGGGACGGCGAGGCGGGAACGGGCATCGAGGGCGTACCTGCGGTATACGAGCCTTCGTGCTCGTCTTTTCTGCTCGTCCCGCGCCCTTCCCCCTCTTATCTCTTCCTGCCTTTCTCCCCTTCCTCCTTCTGCATCTCTCTCGCGGCGTTCTCGGTGGTCTGAGCAGTGTTGTTGCTCGGCGCCGAGCTTGCACACGGGTCGTGCGAGTCCGGGGCCGCGCGGCCTTGTTGCGTGTCGCCAGAGCCGCGGGGAGCCGAATAGACATCGCCAGATACGAGAGAGGAGGTGAGAGGGTCGATTGGAGGTCTCCCGGGTGGCTTTTGAGGCCCGGGAGAGGAAGGATGCACCGGTCTTGTACCATGCACAGAGGGGTTGTCAGGCACTCCTAACTGAGCTGGCGGTAGTTCAGCTTCAGCTCGCCTGTCTGTTGGGACAGTGCGAGCGCCTTGATGAGAGGTCGGGCGGTCGTGGCTGCCCGGGAGGTGGTGAGAGACGAAAAGGTGGTGGCGGTCGAGAGTAGCGCGCTGGGCACTAGCGCCCGGAGCGCCCACCGTCGCTGACTCAGTGCGGGCTCGCGACGCTCAACATCGAGCGGGTCGAGCGGGTTGATGCTAGCAACGCGTCGTACAAGGCGAGCAGCGGTTCTGCCCATTCGCTCGACGGGGCGAAGAAAGCCATTGCCTTATTCGAGCCCATAGAAAGACTAAGAAAGGACTTACTTATTGAGAATGGATTACGTAATGACAGTGCGATACATGTAGGGGTAGTCGGTTGCAGAACATGTAGTGGGGTCGGCGCCGAAATATATGTAGTGTGGGCAATGAGAGTGTATGTAGTGGTATTGCGAAAGTGTATGTAGTGGGTGCCGAACATATGTAGGGGTGTTTCCGATTCATGTAGGGGGGATTCATTTTTGCATCAAACGGTACGCCATAGGAGACGTGCACATAGTCTGTTCCCGGCCCAGGCATTCGAACTGTGTCCGTAGCCTAGTGGTCTGTCGGACTTCACTTTGCTGGCCTACATGAAACATCCCGAAGTTTTCACGTTCGTTATTGCATCAGACGACGAACCTGCGGCATGCTCATGATACTACACGTCGTGCTGCAGGCTGCGAACTTGGCGGACACTGCATTTTCTTTTTGAGGATTGCCACAGGTGGTGCGTTCATTCTCAACTCAAAGATCGCACGACTATCCAGATACCCCAATATCTTTCTCGGGAAGTGTATGGCTATTCATTCCATCCTGAGAATGAGAGGGACCTCGGTAGGTCGCGGTTGGCTAGTTAGTTTGGCGGTATAACCTGGTCGGGCCGTAGCGAGTGCTCTGCGTCGGGTTGGTCAGGACTCGAGCTCAAGCCACGGTCAAAAATATGCGCACGTACCACTGATATGTATAGCGGACTCTGTGGGGAACCCCGCAACGGTGTACCGGCGGTAGTTTAGCGCCAATAGCGAGCATCAGGTAGTTGCCTATGATTAAGCTCGTGTGCTGAGCCTTTGTCATGCACACCGTGACGCACATGCATTCGTCGCTACCAGACACGTACTAGAGACTAACCGCCTCATGGTTCCAGACGTCAGGGACGTTTTCATGACGCGCTGGGACCCGGATTGCACCGCTGCTCAGTGTCCCAGCGATGTGTCGTCGAACTGCTTCCGTCGATGTTCCGAGTGATGACTGCATGAATACGAGACGTCAGGGGGACGTTGGGGCGTCCTTGACCTTGCATGACCTGCGTCATTCGTGTCACGGCTGTATTGTCAATGGTCTAGCTGACCGGCACTAGCATTCCCGAAACGTGTACATTGCGTGCCTGGAGCGTAGTCGATTGACCGCTGCAAATATCATGTCAGCGTCGGTGTACGACCACCGGGACAAATGACTCCGCCATGGACATGCCAACATGGCAACCTTTCTTTACGTTCCCTCCGAACGCGGGCAACGAGGGCAACTCACCCTGACGATCATCGGCTTGTAATTCCGGATATTCGCAGGCGCGGCGGACATTTGAGAAAAGTCGAGCCAATGGCAAGATGTGTATGCAATGCTGGAGCGTGTAGAAGAGTGCAGGTTGTCACCCTGTGCTGATGTGACAGCCGGCCGCCTTGAGGGGCTCATTTCGCTCGGATCAGGAACAGGTTCCTATATATCCCTTCAGCGCTGGACACCAGTAAATTAACGTCGAGACCCATGACAACTTTCACGCCAGAGGTTCTATCAATGCAGCCGCGACCTGGGGGTGATGCCATTCAGACATGCTATATGGGTCAACCATTACCATGGGCGAAATACCTACCAGTCACTCAGCACTCCTTCCGGGCCAATGTGCAAATTTTGAGCTGGGGAGACGGATCATCGGGCGGCCAGGGAGTCTTTTGACAGCACTTGCCACTGTGTCCAAGCCGGGTGGTGCTCATCATGGCTGTGGAGTCTGTCTGGTTTCTCGTGCTGCCCGCCGAATTCGAAGACGCTCGCTTGTTATATTGGCCATGAGACCACAAATCGGACTATGAGAATGATGGACGGTCCCGGCCGCAGCAGGGACAGAAAGGCGAACGACTTGGCAATAAGCCCGAGCGGTGTGACGCAGAGTTCGATTATGCGCGTTTGCGTAAGAAGCATCCGGCAAGCGAATAACACGGCTATTCCTTGTCCTTTTCTCAAGGTCCAGCATCCAGCACGCCTTTCTAAGTTAGGGACGTACTGGTGCTGTGCTGAGGCTGCCTGACTTTCTTATTGCGTGTTGGAGAATGGACGGACTCTCGTAGAGTACCAGTAGGATACCTAAGGACCTTTAGTGTACGATCGCTCCGGCGCTTCCTTACGTAAGCGCTAACGCGCGCGTTTTTCACTCGCATTCGCTCCGTACACCTCAGTACTCGAACATACAGCGTCGAGACTGAGGTGAGTAGTATCCCGATATCTTACGTCGCTCTTTACTCATGTATTGTAGTCACTTCGTGTCTCTTACAGGTTCGTCAATAATATTAGTACTCGAACATACAGCGTCGAGACTGAGTCACTTCGTGTCTCTTACAGTTCGCGGCTGCCCCCACTCCTTTTAAAAAATTGCGCACATCGATTGCATGCCTTCGGAACGTCTGGTGGCAACAACCTGAAGATGCGTGGAGTACTGTTCGACTCAATTTGGCACTATATGCCGATGTTCTGATGCGCTTTCTGTGGGCGCTCCGTCAATGAAGACCCGAACCCGAGCTAACGATGAATTGAAAGACTCCCCACAAATCGTGTACGATGTAGCCTTCGGACTCCAGAACTGCAGTCACTGTCTAATCTTTCTGTCAATAACTTCTCGCGGAAAAACATATCAGTCCTGCGAAGATCGATGGTACCCGCACCTAAACAAGCAAACGGTCGGACCTGACGTGGTGCTCCCGTCTCATCCACTTTGGGTCACTTGCGTGAAACACCGACATGGACTGGCATTGAATGTCTTCGGTAACGCTGATCCGTTATAAGTCATCAACACGTACTGATGAGTCCGTATGCATACGGGAAAAACCTCGTTGTGAGGACATTTTGATGGTGATATACTCGCACTCAGTCACTGGGATGACGGTCGAACTTGGTCTGCGACTGGCGAGTGACTGGCAATTCTGTCCTGACGGCAAGGTCCGAGGGAGACACTTCCATATTAGGCAAGTGAGTTGTTGTGCGGTGGCGCGTAACCAAGCTGTCGGGTGCTAGTTGAAGTTCGCCCAACTCAGACCTATCGTTTGCGTGAGTGGATCATCATGATACTCCAGTTGAAAGATACTCACACGCGGGTAAACCTTGACAACTCCTAGCTGGGCCATGGATGGTAAGTCAATCGCGACAAAGTGATCTGCGGAGTAGCATAGGTCTGAACCAGTGGCCTGCCAGAAACGGCTCCTGGCATGGCATGGGTGCCGCCTCTCTACGACTGTTCCAAAGACCCAGCTCTGATTTGGGACTGCACTGTACCGCAAGATGACACAGTATCCTACAACTTCGCTCGAAGCGCCAAGTGGTATGTAACCTCCTGTACATGCAGACCCGGGCCTGGAACAGCGAAGATGACAATTCCATGGTTGCAGGTGTCCTGACGGGTCTGCCGTACTTGCCCAGTGCGAAGATCGCACTTTTTTCATGCCAGATATGTAAGCCAGAACAAGACATCGACACCCCATCAAGTCTGCACAGCTGACTCAGACACTCTATCGAAGACCAGCAAAATACTGCGCATCTTTCGAAGCGTCCGCACCATATTCTGCGACACATGCTCGTGTGTTCAAACAACAAGGTCCTATACTGGACTTTGCGTGGTATCCTTCTGCCACTCGTGGCAATCCAGCTGCCTTTTGTTTTCTTGCCTCTGTACGTGAGTGTCCCGTGAAGCTTCTGGACGCCAATGACGGTAGAGTGAGTTCATCGTACATCCGATGCGATAGCGTCATTCCCATGCGATTTTCGACATGTCTAGCTACGCGCATCCTATCGAATTGTCGACCATAGAGAGCGCCAAATTGCACCTCATAGCATAGCGTTTAATGCAACTGGTGATAAGTGAATATCGGACTTGATCCTCCCCGTTGGAGATGCTTACTAAAAGCTTTTGATTTCAGATTTTACTGTGGATTCGAGGACGCGATCGAAGTTTTTGATGTCCAACGGCCCGGAGAAGGAACACGTCTGCATGTTACGCCCTCGAAGAAAAGCAAAGATGGGCTGAAGGGTACGTCACCGCGCTTGTGAGTGAGTTCCTGACCTGATGACCTCCAAGGCATAATATCCGCTTTAGCATTTTCTGCCGACGTCGATTCGGGTGTCTATGCCGCAGGATCACTGAGTCCATCTGCCCCTTCCACGTCCAATATAGCGTTATTTTCGGAAGCTACGGGAGAAGTACCCATGATGTTTGTAGGAGCGGAGAATCTCTCCCACGGGGCACCGTCCGGCATCCGGGCAGGCGTAATGCAGGTGATTGTCACCGATCCATCCCGATTGGATACAGCTCAATCTGCTTTCAAGTTAATGTTCAATCCTGCCAGACCATATCTGCTCTATGCTTCCTTCAGACGCCATGAAGCCATCTATGCATGGGATCTGCGAAGTGACGTCAGCAATCCTGTCCACGTCTATACTCGACGAACCGTCGACGCATCTTCGTCTATGGCTGCAGCCACAAATTCGGTGTCAACCAATCAAAAGCTCAAGTTTGACCTAGATGTCACTGGTAAAGTACTAGGTGTAGGCGATCAGGTAGGTGCGCACCCGACCCACGCCGCCAGCTCTCACGTTCAGCACTGTAGCTTGGAAACATTACCCTGTTCGGTACCACCTCAGATGAAAGCGCAGCGGCTTCGTTTTCCGTGGAGTCAGAAGCACGCATCGCGCGGCCAATCCCGATACTCAAGTACGCAGCACATGAGGGTGCGTACTCACCTTCTCATTGAATAGGCTTCTTTCGTCCGGTGCTATTTATCTTGACCGTCTGCTCGGATCTATAGACGCGATAGGCTCGGTCAGCTTCCATCCACTCCGCCCTGTCCTTCTTTCCGTTTCAGGTTCTCGACACTTCGATGGAAGCCCACCCGCTACTCATACATCCTTATCGTCAAGCTCGGACTCGGACTCAGACGATCAAGACTACCGAACTACTGAAGGATACAACCCTACCAATCAAAAGACGAAGGTGGTAAGAATATGTCGCAAGGGACCGCAGCCGAGCACGCATGATTCATCCGCGAAGCTGTGGAACTTCGACTCGCGTGTCGACACGAGCAGAAGCACTATAGACCCCGCATCGTGATCATGCACACAACGTAGATCACCATAGTTGTAAGTGTAAGATAACATCATTGGCAGTGCTACACGCTAAAGAGGCACGCTGACGACCCTGATCAGAACCACACTATACGGATCGTCGGAGCCAATGAGCGCAAGAATGAGAAGGCGTGGCACCATGTCATATTTAATCCAATTGGAACGCTGCCGCGCGGATTAAGTCCTCGACGGCCTTAGAACGTGACTTAAAGCCGCACTTGAACGGCAGCGGGTATCTGCGCGATCCATGTTGAGCGACATACCTGCGATAGTATTGTGAAACTCACGTAACGAGACCTGTGGTATACTCTTCGGATGGTTCAATGGGAGTGCCTCTGTCGTCCAGAGGTTTATGGATCTCCATGGTCGACAGTACTGACGCGACCGAGATCCACAACGAGGCACAAGCGAGATATCGTCCTGGACATATCCGTCTACCGAACCCAAAGGCCGGGAGCTCCGCATCCTTCATCTTGTCGTTCAACTGGCCATCTGGAGTGAGGAACCTTTCGGGAATAAACTCTTCCGGGCTCGGGAAGCGTTTTTCATCGTGCAACATCGCCCTGCAAGAGAAACCCTACCATTGGTGATTATACACACGATGATCAAGTGTAGCTCACCACCCGTTACCGACCACGATGGCGCCTGCGGGCAGTCGATAGCCATGGAACTCGTCCTCCGAAGTAAGACGATGAGGGACAGCTAGTACGACGCATAAACGAAGACATCCGACCGGCTCGAGAGCATTCACATACCCAAAGGTGTCACTGGACGCCATCTACAATGCACATGAGTAAGGCTGCCACAAGATCATCAAGTGCTCTTACCTCAACACTTCCTGCACAACGGCGGAAATATATGGCAAGGAGCGCTGATCGGAGAATTCAGGAAGGCGATCGTTGCCTATGACACGATCTAACTCTGCTTGAGCCTTGCGTTGAATATCGGGGTATAGAATCATCGCAAGGAAGAACGATCCTAGGGCGGAAACAGTCTGCAGAAGTTGTCAATTGAACGAATACGACCGTGTTCCTGGAGAAGCAACCAACCGTGTCGGAACCGCCTATTTGAAATCAGGTCATTGTCCTCTTAAGCCGATGAGAAAGTCTCATACCGGTGTAGGCAGCTGCTGCGACTCCACTGTATAGCTTCTCTAGATCTGTGCTATCATCGCTTTCGTCGAGGGTGCTCAGTAAAGAAGCAATCATGGATGGTGTGGCCATGCCGTCAGCCTGGCAAAGATAGGTGAGACGAATCCAAGTCTCATGGTGATATGCTTACTATGGCTCTCTTGACAGCTTTGAAGGGCACCTCGACCATGGCTGTCGTTGATTTCTTCCACTCGATAGCCTTTCGCCTGAACTCCGCTCCAGGAAACCAGGTAGGGACATATCTCACTATGGGGGCCAATGCCTAAATAGTATTCGCATTTCGCATGATAGAATGGCTTACGTATTGGAATCGAGTCCACGAGAAACGAACCGGCGTTCCCTGCCATTGCTATAGCATGGAGAGCACGTTCCGCAGTCGCCACAAAGGGGTCGTCTTTTGGTTGGACTTCTAGTCCATAAGCGACACCGATGATCAAAGAACCCGCCATGCTGAAGGGAGCATTAGGCAGGAAGCGCTGGAACTTCGCTGAAAATGCTTACTGGCGGAGATGGCCCATGAAGTCATCAGGCGTGTCAAGCAAACGATTCAGAAGGACTCTGGCCCCCTTCAAGGCTCTGGGCCTATGTTGCAATGCCGCCGCAGGATGAAAGTGTTGATGGAAGACTCTCCGTCGCTCTCTCCATCGGTCTCCATAACCCATGAAGACGAAGTGCCAATCACACCCCACCCTGGATTGCAAGCCGTCAAGGTCGCGTACACAAAGTGAATGGACTTGCGCATCGACACTTACAGGTCATTCAACATGGTCATCGTCGGTCTGAAGATACATGTCAACAATGGTTATTACGACAGAAACGAACGGGATCACGATACCTGTCTGAGTACAATGATGACCGCCTCTCAAACAGTTCGTAGGCGGCATCGATCGAGTTGACGACAACGACGGGAGTCCCAGCAAGGTTGAGATAGATGATATCCGAGTCTACGCCAATATGAGAGTGATTGTTTCAGAAAGCCCCCGAATCAACGCACCGTATTCGCGCGACCAATTCTGATAGGCAAGCCATTCTCGACTCTTCGGGACATCATAAATGTTGCCCAGGAGCGGGACTCCCTTTGGTCCTGGCGGAAGTGGACGCTTTCTACGGGTGGCGAGGGCCGCCGCCACAAAGGCAACGATGAGCAGAAGCAGAGGCAGTGGAGAAACTACCGCCATCAGAGACGAGGTGTACTGGTCTTGACGCAACTGCTGGGATGCTCTTAAGTACTTCCGGTAGCCCGTTCATTGGCGGAGAAGCATTCCGCTCCAGACCAGACTTACGCGTGTAGGGTACATACCCGTCCCGGACAACACTTACGGAAATAAACATCGCACCGATATGACGCTGCAATGCGGCTGCATGGTTATAGGTAGTGAGTCCCGAACACTAGGTGGGAGAACCTTCCACACACGAGTTGTTAGGTAAAACTATCTGGGAGGTCCCGTGAGATTAACGCATAGACGTTCCCGTCTGTATTGGCGATGGCAACACGCAATGCAGAAGACGCGCTGAGGGTTTGAGGCCCACGTTGAGGCTTCTTGATCCCCGACCGTTGTCTATTCATACTTACGAGAAGAGCGATCCGAGTGGCAGGGCTGATCATAAGATAAGGTGCAAGAAGTTCAGAACGACCGGCGCCGTGTTTCTCGCATTTTGAGGTGCCGTATACGAGACACGTCACTGGCTCTTTGCATATGTGTCCGCCGGCAATTACCCTTCAGTACTCAGTCTTGGCGCCGGGCGTAACTCGAACGAATATCGGATGTGACAAGTCGTATGGATAATTAGAAATTTACAACGTACTAGAATCGACCGGACTTTTCAGCGTCATCTTCACCCGACCACGTTGCGTATTCTTGTCCTTCTCGACCTCTATCTCGACCACCACCTTGTCGAACACTGCAATGGTAGTGTTGTCCACGGGAGAAGAAGGAACGGTGATCGTGTATGAATCAGGATCGAACTGAGTCTCCCGCTTGAACGTCACGAGCCCCTCGAGGCCCAATCTGCGAGACAAGATACAATGCTTGAGCTTAATGTATTCTGCGGAGTTAAACTGAACTGAAGTGGACCCACGTTGACACATAGACCGCCAGCCCGTTTCTAAAGGTGCGGATTACGAAAGCCTCCTCCGTGGTTGATTTGCCCTTTCCGCGGGACTTAAGGGCCAGTCCAACGTAAAACTCGACGCTGGCACGGCCTGCCATCTGAGCCATCCTATGACGTCGATTCACGACGTCGAGAACTCGTTCAACGTGTCCTTTGGAATGCAAAGTCGCATGCAATGACGAGTATCCGATTGCAGCAGAAAGCTGCCGGTGTACGAGCACATCTACAGACGGCGGACGTTCTGGTCAGCAATGACCCATGTCATCACGGGATTCTGCGGCTCACCGGCGTACCGCCTGATGGGGCTTGTGAAGTGCGTGTATATGGGACTCGCTAACCCGTAGTGCCCGAAAGTATCACGGGAAACGCTTCCCGAACAGAAGTACTCGGCTGACAGCATGCAACGCGTTGCCATGATTCGCACCAATGTATTGAAAGCGGGTTCGCTGGGGTCCTGACAAGCACACTTCTGAGTGCCGCTTCTTGGAAACATGGTCTCAACTCACTGTGCATCTGTCAAGTGAATCTGCAAGGGCACCAGAACTGGACACATCAAGAGTCAGGCCCTTGCGCTTCTGCAGGATGTCTTGCAACTTTTCGAAATTGGAACGTGGTGGAGGCAGGTGTCGTCTGCACAAAATGATCAACGAGGTGCAGAATTAGGATGGGAAAGCACGGACCGTAACACGGCAGTCTGTGGGAAAGCTTCTTCTATCCTGCGTGCTACGCTGATGTTCGCGAGCAGCATGAATTCTTCGACCAGACTGTTGGTCTCTCGCAACTCTTTTTGCTCTACGTCTATGGGATCCGAAGATTCAGAGCTATCGAGCTGGATCTTGACTTCTGGCGAGGCGAGATTCAGTGCACCAGCCTCCATTCTTTTTGCTTTCAACTTCTGTGCGAGGGAATTGAGCAGCCTGATGCTCTTTGTCAAGTCATCAGCGAGCGTCCTGTGAGGCACGTGTATTAGACTTCAGAACTGCTACTTCCCGTTCCGAGGATTGGTAACGTACGGATCATCTTTGCGAATCTGGGCCTCCTCATACGTAAATGCAGACTTCGAGGCAATCACGGACTTGGCGAAGCGGACATTGATAATGTCGGCATCCGGCGTGAGCTCCTGTATCAACGAAAGCAGTATCCATGAGGGTGCTGTGGCGGCGGCTATGTATGTAGATGCCGCTCACCCAAATCACGGAGAACGCCAGGCGCTCTACATGTGGTCGCAGAGAGCACAGATTCGTTCCTAGAAGCGCAGGCAACATGTCTATCCGCTTGTCGACCAAGTACACCGTGGTCCCGCGCGCAGCAGCCTCATTGTCCATCGGGTTGTCCGGATGAACGAAGTGGGACACGTCGGCGATATCTAGGAGTTTTGCGAATGGCAGATGATGTGGCGCCCGAAATACGAGGTCAAACTAAGAGAAGGCGCGATGCAAGGCTTAGAACTTACGGACACCAGCTTCGATGTTCCCGGTGGGAAGTAGACGTGCGTGAAGCGCATCGTCAATGTCCTGGCAGCCTGAAAAAAAACTTGGTCAAGCACAATTCTTGTATCTATCGTAAACGGAACGCACCAGGCGGGTCAATGCTGCAGACGATGAGGTCCCTCAAATCCTCTCTATCCCTCCACACCGGGCTGTCAGCGGTCTTCGGCGGCACAACCCAATGTTCGCCTTCCGGCGGCAAACAGTCAAGAATAGCCTTCCCGAAGGGCCTGTATGGGATGTCGAACTCCAGTAACAAACTTTCTTGCTCGGCTTCTTTGCTCTCAACCTTACCCAACGCACGCACGAAGTGGCCCTCCGGGTAGCGGGATGTGCTATCCCAGCGATCTATGGTGACGAGAATCTTCTGGCCGAGCAAGGTTGGCGCCTGGCGTGTACGTAGTCGTATACGGGGGAGCAGTCGGGAAACGGGCGTCGCGAATACCGTCTGCTGAGATAGTGACGTTGCATTGGAGGAAGTCAAGGAGCTGCTGTCGATATGGCAGACATAGCTGAAATACAAGTGAATTCTGATGCTCCCTCCCATATCACTGTCGCAAGGGGACTTACGATCTCCAGTTGCGTTTGATAATACCGACAACGCGTCCCGTTGGCTGTCGAGCAGACACTTCTTTTCTGGCTTGCTCCGTCTGCAGAACCTTACGCTCGGCGATAGACTCTTCATCCTCGCTCTCTTCTTCGGATTCATCCGCATCGTCGTTCCTTAATGTTGCTAGCACCCCATTGTGAGCTGGACCGAAGGGTACGGCAGGAGGCGGCTTACTCTCTTGTTCGACGACCTCATCCGCAGGCGCCTTCCATTCCTTTTCGTCGAAGATCTCGACTGCCACGACGTCACCTTGCACGGCCCTATTCATATTCTCCCGGCCAATCAGAAGGATCGGTTTGTCGAAACCGGTCACCGGTACACTGCCCTAACATAATTGGACGAGCATTGTTAGATGTCCATTTGCAATCACAACGTCGGTCGCACCTCGAGATAATTATATTGATTGGCGTTGAAGTGTCCTTGATGCAGCTCTCCTGATTTGACTCCTGCTAACATAGTTGACATCGACAAGTACTGCGTGGCGATTTCAGTACGCCCCACTTCTCGAAACGATCAGCACCTACATCGGGATAGAGGGCTTGTCTAGCAGCTACTGCTCTTGTCGGCTCCACTCCGTCCGAGCCGGGTGCAGACAGAAGATCGAGGAGTTCGCTGCATTCCTTCAGCGCTTCCACATACTTACGCACTGTACGCGGGGTGAGTCTTCAAAACCGGAACCAGAGTAATATCAAAGACGAACCTGAGATGCATGCGATTCCTTCTTTCTCTGCTTTCTGACGATTGGCGACGTCATCCGAAAGCAAGACAACGCTTGGCAACGGCCTCGCGGGCTGCCCTCGGATAGGAGGCCGAGCAAGGCCAAGATGAGTATTGTACCATGCAGTTGCCATGCGAATCCCTGAGGACATAAGCATGAGATACTCCGAGTCGGACGCCGCTGGACAAACAAGCGAAACATACCCCGGTCATTCCTATCGTTAGGCGATTCACCTTCCTCGCGAATAACGGCAGTCTCGCTAGACAATAGCGGTGTTACTGCTGACCACCCATGTATCAGGTTCTATTGGGGCTCACGATCGATATTCGTTGTAGAAAACCCATATGCGCTTGTCTTCAGCTCGGATGAGCGCTTTCAGGCGATTGTAGAGCGGAAGTGAACGATGCCGTACTTCTTCCATGACCGTTTGCAGTAGTATGATCGGGGGGTTGAAAAGAGTCGATTCCATCAAATCCATCTGCAAAGCATGCGTAAGATATCGTCCAAGTTCATGTTATCATGAAGAAGAATGGACATGTTTATCCAATCTGTCACTTCCGTAAGTTCCGCTGCACCTCTTCTGAGCATCGGACGATAGAGCACAAGCAAACAAAAGCTCTCTCTAACAGGGAGAAAACAGGAAATCTTCTGACCTGAGCGAGAAACACGTTCGTGTCCGGTAAGACGAAATGGCCATTCCGGAACTGTGCATGGTCAAATGACCCAGTAGATGGTAGGTTGAAGTCCCTCAAATCATGGCAGACGCTGCAGCCATCGATACCGCAGCCCACGTCGTCCCGCAGATACCGTTCGCGAAGGACTATTTATGACTTTCAGAGATAATTTTGTGGTCGGACCAATCGCCAAACCTTTGATCACCTTCCCGCGTGCGGTCTTCTTGAAAAACTTGCGTTGCGTGACGACTGCCTCCGTCCTGGGACGCTTCCGGATGGTAATCTCTACCATGCTGAGTCACCTACGTATTTGTAGCACCTCGAGCGCAACGTATTCGAGGCTGCCTGGGACCCAGTGAGGGTTAGTTGGAAGGAGGAAGCAGCGCGGGTTGGCGGACCGCCATTGATTACAAACTAGTCTCCCTGGTCTCCACACATCTATATATGGTATGTCCGAGATTCACTCTAGGAACGTGCGGCAGCGCTCGAACTCAGAGTCACGGACCGCAACCTAAGATTCCTCCTCCCACTTCGCCATTTATTGCTCTCCCCTCTCTCGATGGACTGGCAGGGATAGGACTCCTTTGGGTAGTCAACGAGAAGAAATACTGAGTAAGTCAGCACTCAGCTGCCACGATCGTACTTCGGGCCTAGCTTTCGAATTGTTGGTCGCTTCTCTCCTCGCATCTGACCGGCCTACTTACCTTTTATTTTGGTACACGGAATCCGAATCCGTCGGAAACGCTACAGAGGTCCGGCGCGCCTTGCTATCGAGTCTTTCATTTACTGGTCTCGGTTCGGGAGCAACATTGGCTTCCTTACCCCAGTCGTCTGTTCTCGCCCCTGGCCCTCGAGTTCTCAGCCTGAATTGCAACCGATTGCAACCTTAACTGACATTCCTGTCAAGCCTTGCCTCCCCATGGCCGGCTCGCCTGGACCTGAGATGTTGCTCGGGGACTGCGGGCAACTCAAAACGTAAATCATAGGCAGCCGCCAGTGTGAGGGTGCCGTCGTGGCGTCCAGGGATCTCGTCAGATGTGGCGTTATGCGTCGACGTCGCAGCGGATGCAATCTCTGGGTCGATGAGAGCTGCTGGGAACCGCGACGCACGTTGCTCTCCTGGCGACCTACCTTCCACTGATTCCCGATTACAGGTTCAGGGACAACTTGAGTTATCCGCCTTATAGCCAAGTGGCATGAGTGTCCTCGCAGCTTTCCACGCCCTGCACTCGTCAACGATGAAGTGGGCTCAGACGCGCTGGCTAGGCTTCATACTGCAATTCCCCGCTCAGATGGCATTGGCGCTGTTAACGGAAGTACCCATCTATAACGGCATCTGCTCTACTGCGGGAGTGTACAATACCTCTTTCACACCCGCGGATCTCCCTTGGAACACCTACAACTACTGCAACGCACCCCATGTCAACGCGGCCCATTACGAAGTTCCAGGCAATGCCCCGGATGCGACGTTGGTATACTTGAACGCGATGGTTCGCCACCACAAGGTATGGAGAAGGTCGTTGCCTCCCGTAACTGTGCCCCCATAGCGGCACGCTTACGATACCCGCGATGAATGCCGCAGAGAACTCCGGACAACCTGTATCCTGAAGAGGGCGAGCTCAATCAGGAACCGTGGAACTGCTCCAGCTTCCTTCAGTTCAATCACGGAGGCGGCACGACCCACATCTTCCACGAGACGTACAGTCCGCCTTGGCACCCCTTCCTCGTTCAGATCTGGAACGGAACGTGTGATGAAGGCCAGCTCACGTATGAAGGACTTCAGGATGCGATCCACCATGGCGAAGTACGTTTTCTCAACCCTCGTTCAAGGGTCTTGATAGGAATGATGCTGTATGTAGGACTTCTGGTCCGTATACGCAGGAAAGCTGGAATTCCTGAAGTCCGTCAATGAAGATGATATTTTCATTCGCACGTCGGTTGCAGACCGGACATACCAAGTAGCAGGAGGTCTTCTTACAGGAATGGACCCCACAATGGCTACCAAGACGTTCCCGGTGCTCACGCAACCATCTGCGGTTTGTACCCTTACTACACTGCTAGGCCAGATCTGGAACTGAGGTATGGACACCAGATTGATTCGATTGTTCCGGACTATTCGTGCCCAAATGCAGATAGCATCCGCGACGCATACCAGTCCGTGCCCACGTGGAGCGATCATCTCGAGGAGAATGCGGGCTTACAAGATCGACTCTGCACTATGCTAGGCGTTACCGGGAATACAGCCTGGACCTCTTGGTGTGAGCATAGCTTTTTTCATCGACTCGTCCGGATCCAGAGCTTATCTTTCGTCTCTGGCGGTATTCCGTTGCCCGACGATGCGAACGCGTGCTGCCAGACGACCATTTCTTCGACACGTTCAGCTCACGGACTTGCCACGGGCACGCTCTACCATGCAATGCTTCCGGTGCATGTGTTACCGTGGAAGACGCCGCTCGCGTATTCGCCATCGGGGACTGGGAGTACAAGTACGTTCGGGTGTCTTTGTTTCCAGTGTTGCGTGACACTATCTTCCGCTTCGCAGCTACATTTGGAATACGGCGGAAAACGCGACGACTTACTCACAGCTTACGTTCGGTGCGCTCCTCCCGAACGTCCGTGAGGCGGTTTCTGGTGCCCAGGCTGACTACTAGTGCACGGCGACTTCCGTAACAGGCGTGTTTTTCATGGAGCTTGCGCACAACTTTAGGATGTTCCGCTCCGGCGGAGAAACGCACAAGCTCAGGTTCTATGTCGGACATGATGGGTCGATGATTCGACTCGCTTCTCTGCTAGGTTTAGGGAAGGTCGCCCCGCTGCGCTGGCCAGCCATGGGATCGGAAATCATCATGGAGGTGAGGAACAGTGGGCGAGTGAACGTGCCGATGATCGCTAACCAAGGCCGGGTTCATCTGCGCAGGTCTGGAAGACGACTGCGGGAGAACAGTATGTGCGCATTATGCACGAAGGCACTACCGTCCCGGGGCTGGAGTGGCTCGCGCTGGATGACTTCATCGATATGCTGGAAGCACAGGTTCCGCCGAACGTCTTCGCGGCCTGTATGGGATCCTGACCCTGCACGTCCGGCGCATGCGGCGCGGCGTTCTCGTGTCCCACCTGGGTGTTGACGTACGTACCGTGCGTGTGCGCGCGACCACGTTTTGCACTCGAGGCCCAGGCCGTTTTGAGATCCTCATTGTGTCCCGGATGATGACCGTCGTGCCCTCGGTCCGATAAGCTCAAGCTTTTTCTGAGTCTTAGATTCGCTAGTGCCTGGCAGTTGCTGTCTGCATGGCGAAGGCACAATGCAGGCTGATCATCCGAAGAAGCGGGGCGGTCTCGACAAGCACAATCCCGAGTCTCGAGAACGGCTTCTTCCGCGAGTTCGTTCCTCGTCTGAGGATGGAACTCCCTCGAATCAATCTTGTACCCTATTGATGAGACGGTGTCTCTTCGCGTTCGGCTGCCCATTGCCCTTCGTGCGTAACTTGCATAGTACGCGCAGCATGGCCAGCGCACCTATTCGCTTCCGTCAATTGCATCCATCTTCCAGTTCTTTCATAGCTTTCTTCGACCGAAAGTGAGAATAAGCGGCCCCTTTGAACCCTCTATCTTCACACATTAAGCGCCCATATCAACAAGCGCTCATGCGTTGCACGTGGCGGATCCGCCACACTGTCGTGTCGCGCGGCTCGCGAGACTCGACATCGAGCCCTTTGACGACGACGGGCACATTCTGCGCGGCATGCACCTCTTTTGGCTCTGTTCGGTCGTGCTATGGATATCTCACACTTGGGCAACACAAGCATCGGAAGTGGGGGTCGTGGACTGGCATAAACCTCTCGTGGGCATACCGTTATTTGTTACACCCTCTACTGCGCCGAAGTTTCAGAGAGTTGGAGAAGTTGGAGTCAAATCGCGCAGCTTGCTCTTCACCGCGACTTCTGGAAATATACTGGCAGCATTGGATCCAGTGGATGGCGTAATAGGTGTGTGGAAGTATACGCGTCGAGTTGAACGGAATGCAGACCTCATCAAGTATAGCGTGGAGATACGTATTCGAGGACAACGAGCATGTCGTAGGCCATAAACAACACGGAGATGGTGAGTCGTCGACACAGGTTGTAATTCTCTTTCGCATATTGCAATGTATTTGTGGGGTCTCTCTGCATGGCAGTCGCGTCACTTGTGACTTGCGTCTGTCCTCGTATTATTCGCTCGTAGTGCAGGGCTCATGGCTTGGAACAAAGTGTCGCTTGTTGCACCTATGCACACCCAAACGCCGAACTCAATCTTCCGATTCGGAGGACATATATGCGAGCCGCTTGTCCCGCGAACCCGGTACCCTTGCGTCTGGCCTTGATATTCGATGGTCTGGCGGCGCATGAATAAGAGCAAAATTCCTTATGACATGCAATAGTTTCACGCGTGCGCGCGTTCGCCTTGGCTGGCTGCCTTCACATTCTTTGCGGCTGCGTATACGTCTGATTACTAACTGCGCACGTCGATTTTACTCTACAGTTCTTGCCACCGTGTCTGGTGCAGGCGGGGCTACACTCCGCCTACTGGACGCTGCCACTGGCGACCTACTGGCCGAGAAACACTTGCACAAGCCCGACTTCGGCCGTCTCTTCGATCCTGAGACATTGGGAACATCAATAACCTTCGACGCTGATGGGGATGTGTACGTCCTCTCGAACGCACATATAGCGCGTCGCGTCGATGGGAAGACGGGGGAAGTGAAGTGGGGATGGTCTGCTCCAGATCAATCGTGAGCATTCTCCCGCTCAATCGTTCCTAAGTCATGCTCATCTTGCCGTCTTCCAGCTCTCTAGTAACATATTCTAAAATTATCACAACCCCGTCGACTGTCTACCTTATTGGTCTCGCTAAGTCCTTCGCGTCCTACACCATACATGTCACCGCCTTGTCCACGGCAACCGGCGAGCTGCTCACAACAGGGCACATTCCATCAAGCATATCTGACGGACTGACGGATTTCTTCGAACTACGCGATGTCAAGGATGCCCAGGTGCCCCTGCGAATAGTCTGGGTCGAAGGCGGCTCAGTCCGGTACTTCAGTTTGACCCCGGAGCTCAAAGAAAAGCCGATGGGACTCAAGGGAGCAGTATACAAGAGCATCCTGGATGTCGGCTTGTCGGAGTACGGCCAATTTGTCGCTTTGAAGGAGGACGGCACGGCGCTCGTACTTCGATCTGTACCAGAAGGCTTCCGGCAGATCTGGGAGTTTGCCGAATCTGTATGTTTGAAATTGCTCTTTATCTGGATGGGGCACTGACGACCAGACACGCAGGCCAGTTCATCCAAGTACACCGCTTCGAAGTATGTCGGCGGCCTTGACATGGACGGCCAGCCGTACATAGCGCGTGTATACTGGTCCCATGTATACAAGGTTGGGAACATCTCTGTTCTTTCATTATCGCAAACTCACGTTCTTCTAGAAAGCCGTTGCTCACATATTCGCCGGTCACTTAGCGGATGGAAGGAGGGGGCTGGTCTCAGGGTACACGTTCCCCTTCGAGACCAACGTCCACGGTGTGATCTCCCACGTAAGTGTCTTGCAATTCAATCCGCCAACAGTCACTCATCGTTTGCAGGTCGCTGTAGAAACCGCGAATCCCGAGGGTAACACGATCGTCGCCCGCCTTGCCGTGACGACAAGCACTGGCGCAATACAGTTGTGGCAGCACGACAAGCTCCAGTGGTCGCGAGAAGAGGGGCTGGCCGACATCAAGGTCGCCGAGCTCGTCGAATTGCCGGAGCGGAAGATTACCACGTCCCATGTGGGAGACGAGGAAGAGTCGTTTGGCGACCGTCTCGTCCGACAACTGTCCGACGCGCAGGTATGTCAACGTCCAGAACCCTGATAGACTTCCGCACTCACCCCATTCAGAACTTCCCCCAATACGCGACGAACTTTGCCCGGCGCTTCGTGACGGGCTCGTACGCATCCGTGTCGTCGTCCGCCGCGCCCAGTACGAACGCGTCCGAGCCGCTCGCACGCGACGCATTCGGGTTCCGCAAGGTAATTGTCGCGGCGACGGCGCATGGGAAGCTGTACGGCATCGACTCTGCGGATGGTGCGGTGCTCTGGAGCCGTGTGTTCGGGCTTGGTTGGGCGGCCGAGATCGGGGGGCATGTCATCCCTGTGAAGATGTTCGTCACGCGGACGGTGGGCGATGGAGATGCGCCGCAGGTCGTGTTGGTCACTCAGAGGAAGGCGAGCAATGTGTGTATCTCGGAGCTGATGGCTGGAGCTCGAGCTGACCTGTGGGACGATTGAAGGGCCTTGTGGACACGGTCCTCTTCCATGTGGACGCGCTGACGGGCGAGGACGCAAGAGGCGTGTCGGTGTCTGGTGATCTGCTGCAAGGATTCGACATCATTGCCGGGCCCATCATAGAGGCGTATTTGCTCCGCAGCGGCTCGCAAAAACTCGTCGTCCTGCTAGATGAGTTTGTGCAGGTTAATAGCCAGTTTCGCGATCAATGGTATCATACTGATCTACAGAGCTAGGTGCATATCTACCCTGAAACAGAAGAAACCAAGGAAGCCTTCCGTCAGCTCTCCCCGTCCATCCATATCCCCCTTCGCACCGGTGCTCCCGGCCAGCGTCGACTCACCGGACACAGGATCTCATCCGAGGTCGACTTCACCGGCAAGCATGTAGCCGACATCACTTGGTCGCTTGGCTTCGCTCCAGGCGAAGACATTCTCTCCATAACCCCGCGTCCAGCGCACGAGCCTGTCGCCTCGCTCGGCAAGGTGCTCGGCAACCGAACGACATTGTACAAGTACCTCAACCCCAATCTCATGGCCGTCGTCACCGGCTCGCCTACCGCCGTTGCGCCAAAATGCTCATTGTACCTTGTGGACGGCGCGAAGGGCACGATTCTGTACCATGTCGCGCTGCCCGCTACGGAGGGCGCCTGCGATGTGAAGGTGTCCTTGACGGAGAACTGGCTTGTGTATCAGTACTATGACGGGGATGCATCGGGCGTGCGGTCGACGAAGAGCCACCGTGTAGTGTCTGTCGAGCTGTACGAGGGCTCTGGTATCGACCAGAAGACGAGGAGGTATGCGCTTCTCCCTTCTTAGAGTTACTCTCAGTCTAATGGTGGCGGGTAGTTCTGACTTGAGTTCGTTCTCAAACGAGACTGCGGCCTTGACAGTGTTCGAGCAAGCGTTCATTATGCCCCGAGGAATCAACATCATGACCACGACGTCGACGTCTTACGGGATTACGATCAAGGACATAGTCGGTGAGTACTACCATCTGGGCAAATATCGTGGATGTCATGTCTGAATGCGCCTGCAGTCGCCAACGAGAATCACCAGATCCAGTCCTTCCCGAGGCGGATCTTGGACCCTCGACGACCTATGCGAAAGCCCACGAGCGAAGAGATGGAGGAGTGGCTTATCCAATACGATTCCGTCGTATACGATGACCCGAAGCGCGTGCTTTCACACAGCTACCAGGTGCGCAAGTTTGAGAGATGTCCGCAATGCGAGCAGACACTGATGACACCTTATCAGGTGGTTGGCACGAAGCACGTCGTTACCTCACCCGCGCTGCTCGAGTCCACCTCTCTTATCTTCGCATATGGCCACGACTTGTTCTTCACGCGGATTGCGCCGTCAAACACGTTTGACGTGCTGAGCGAGAGCTTCAACAAGGCTCAACTTGTCTTGACCATCGCCGGGCTGGCACTCGCCATCGTTATCACAAAACCCATGGTGAGGAGGAAGCGACTGCGCGAGCGGTGGTATGACTAGATTGTGTTTGTTAAAATGTATTATTGTACTCACCCGGCGTTACAAAAATATTATCGCGTCTTCTCGTGTCCTTGTCAGTGCTGCACCGGCGTAGTCGTCTCAATAAGTTGGTGCATAACGATCATGCTTTGACTATCTTTGCAATCGCTCAGCCTTTCAACGCCGTCATCCTATGATTTGATGGTCCTGTGCTCACTTCATCTTTTCTCTTCTCCTACGCATGGGTGGGGGCACAGGCCCGGGGTCGAACTGTTGAGAAATCGTAGTCTAGTCAGTAGTCTTATAGGTAGTGGTTTTGTAACTTAGCGCTGCCATCGCCAGGAGGCCGGTGCCAGACACAACCATGTCCACGGTCGATAACTAAATGGACCCCCCGGGCACCTCTTCCTCCTCCTACTACCTCTGGTTCCTCTGTGAGTCCTCAGTCCTCGTCCTGCACGCACGTGATCGTGCCGGTCGCGTCGCGTGTGTACATGGGCGCCTACTACGCGTCTTGCTTGTGGCGACCTCCTCAGGCTGCACAGAGAGCAACAATGTCTCAGGCGGATGACTTTCACGACGAAGATCTGGCTAGGTCAGCTCTGCTTCATTTAAACGGCGCATACTTATCTGTGTAACAGAGCTATAGCGCTCAGCTTGCACGACCATGCGCCCCCGCCAACGCGTCATTCGGCTAGGACCGAAGGCGAAGTCATTGAGATCAGCGACAGCGACGACGAAGATGTGATAGCGGTCAATGAAGAGGATCGCAGATTTCAGTCAGAATTGCAACAAGCCATAGAGGCTTCGAAGAAAGAGGAGGCACGGCGTGCAGCCTCGCAAGCCCTGGTCCAATCAGCCGCAACACCGGATCCGACAGTCTCGGCACCCCTTGCGACAGGGTTCCTCTCCGAGAGAGCGCAACTTGAACGCGAGCGACTCACAAGACAGAAACGGCTGCGATCGGATCTCGATGCGGAGAGTAGCTCTGGTGTCGATAGCGATGCACACAAATCGAAGAGGCAACATCTTTCCTCGTCTTCTGGCGAAACACGAAGAGCCGACGTCTATGCTTCTTCCAGTGCCCCGTATACCCGTCCGTCTACAAGTACGAGCGCTCAGAGACAGTCCACATCCACTACAACAGCAAGTAGCGCGTCCGAACAATGGTACTGGGACGGTGAGATGCGCCAGATAGCCAACATGCATGTGGATCCTGCAAGAAACACGGGGCCTACATTCCGCCTCAGCGACATTCTGGCACCTGTGGGTCTGATACCATTGTATGTCTCGAATGTATGATCCTCAGCTATTTCTAGAGGGATGAGATCGACTTCGCTATCGTGTCGGCATACGTGTACAACTTTCCATGGTTGTACTCCATGCTCAGCCCCAGAACACCCGTGATAGCAGTCGCACAGGATCCACAAGGTACTTCATTTGATTCCCGAAAGTTGCATACATTGACGGTTTGCAGGCCAGGAAACCATCAAGGCGATCCTACCGAACTGGATCAAGACGACGCCGTTCCTGCGGAATGGCATGGGCTGTATGCATATGAAGGTATGCGTGACTCTACCTCTTGAACGCCGATCATTGATGACACGTCACCCGTCTAGTTCATGTTGGTGCGCGAAGTTCTCTGCTCCGTTTATTGCCCTATCACTGACGTCACGAACGTAGCTATTCTACAAGACAGGCCGCCTGCGGGTCGTTATCTCGACCGCAAACATGATAGAATACGATTGGCGAGACATCGAAAACGTAGAGTTTCCATCCTATTCACATCCACTGCAGCTCTCTGATCTTCTTCGTATAGACCGCATGGGTACAAGACGTCCCCAAACGATCATCGCCAATTGCGCACGATCCGAAGGCGGACGATTTCCCCTCAGCATTCGTGCGCGTCCTTCGTGCTCTCCAAGTTGAACCGGCGCTCCTCTCCCATGTCAAAAACGATGTATGTTCTGTTCCTGCTTGCATCTCGCTAGGCTAATCACGAATGCGTCCCAAAGCACCCGAATCTACCACTTCAGCGCCTAGAGCACATACGCACGCATTGGGACTTTTCGAAGGTCAAAGCCAAGTTGATCCCGTCTATTGCGGGCAAGCACGAGGGCTGGCCGAAGGTGCGAACTCTCCTAGATTCTCGTTGTAGAACGTGCTCTAATCGTGATGTACAGGTCATCCTCACAGGTCATCCGTCGCTGATGAAAGCCCTTCGAGACCTCAGATTGAATGCAGACAAAAGAAAAGAAGTAATACTAGAATGCCAGGTACTCCTATGCATCCCTTCGTGGGAATCTTGTAACCCAATCTCCTTCACGTCACGCTCTAGGGATCGTCTATCGGATCGTACAGCACGCAGTGGATGAACGAGTTCCACTGTTCGGCGCGAGGCGAGTCCGCGCAGACGTGGCTGGATGTCTCGAAGGCGCGTCGGGCCAAATTGCCCTACCCACCTATCAAGGTCCTCTTCCCGACGGCGCAATACGTGCACGAAAGCGTCTTGGGCGATCAGGTTCGTCCTCTTTATCCGCTCTTATGCTTGTCTGGCGGTCTAGAGCTTCTGTTTATCAGGGAGGAGGGACGATGTTCTGTCGCCGAACGCAGTGGGAGGCAGCCAAGTTTCCGCGCGACCTCTTCCACCAATCGCGAAGCAAACGCGGCCGGGTCCTCATGCACTCCAAGGTAAGCATTCTCAGGAACAGCTCTATTTGCATGTCAGTGCTAATCGAGGCGACCAGATGATCCTAGGTACCATTCGCGACAAGTCCGCTGCCTTCGGCACTAGTGGCGTGCAGTCAGATAGCGAGACAGAACCGGAAGACGATCCAGTTGAAGATAGCAGACCGAGCAAGCCTGTCGGATGGCTGTACGCGGGCTCGCATAACTTCACACCGTCAGCTTGGGGGACGCTGTCCGGCTCTGCCTTCAATCCAACGCTTAATGTAAATATAGGTGCTCACACATTCCACGCGCGACGATTCTGACGCACCGGAGTAGATCACGAACTATGAGTTGGGCATCCTGTTGCCCATCCACAACGAGGAAGAGGCGAACCGACTGACTTGCTGGGAACGACCTCCGCGAAAGTACGCGCTCGGGAGGGATGAGCCTTGGGTAAGCGGAGTCAACTAGCCTAAGTACCGGATTACGCAGTTTGCTGATGCAGGGGCTCTTGCAGATACAATCTGAGTCCCCGGCGTTCGCTGAGGACCTCTCGTAGGAGACTCGCGTGCCGCGCCAACCGGCGACGGTTCGACACCAATAACGACGTTCTATTGTGATCTATATTGCCGTTAATCAGGCAACAGTAGTGATTGCATGTACTGTAGTACCGTGATCGAGGTAGTCTATCGTAGTGACTGTTATGTCAGGCAAACAACTGCGGCAACAGTGCGAAGTACTGTATGGTAGACGCGTGAACTACAGCCAACTAACTTAGGCATTAGGAAGACGAGGTATCTGCATCGCACTCCTCATAAATATACCAGTCCAATAGCGTTCAGGCAGTACCGTCAATGGACTTCTCCGGGTTAACCCCCTCCTCAATAGCAACGTTGTCCGCCTCTTCGGATTGCGGCAGCGGTACCTCCTCCGCCGACGGCTTCTTCCTCTTCGTCGAGCGGTTGCTCTCATCGTCGGCTCCTCTGGTGCGCTTGGTTCCTGTTTTGACAACCTTGCCATCTGCGTCGACGTGCGGGGGTACGAATGGGCGCGCCTTGTCATTCTCCGGCCAGCCCTCGGCCTTCAAAGCCTCGTCGAGGACGAGGATGAACGCTTCATGGGTCAGAGGGTCGACTGGCCGATTCTTCCGCTTCCGCGAATTCTCAGCCAAGGCCGACAAGTTGGTCATAAGGTCAGTGAGAGGCTTATTACCGCGGATCGTGATCTCCCCGTCCGACAGCCAGGCAATCTTGGCGCTTTTGGCGATGATCTCGTTCTCGGTTGGAAATATCGTGCTGCAGAGGGCGGCACCCTCTGGGTGTTCATGATCGGTGTGACGCACAACGATCCACAAGATGACCCAATAGAACGATTCGAGATCGTGATGGACACGATGGAGGACGTCCGCTGTTTTGTGCAACAGTTCGATGGCGAAGTACCGAAACGTTCCCTTGATATTGATCCGAGTCGTCAGAACAGGCTCGTTTTCACAACACGAGAATGCTCACCGTTCGCTCCTTTAGGTCATGTTCCAGGGTATCCTCGTCATTATAGTCTTGTAGACGCGAGCCGCCGAAGGCAGTGCTATCGATAAAGCTGCTGCAATCGAGATCACAGATGAATCCTTTGAAGAGCGCATTTCCCAGCAGAATGAGGATGTTGCCCTTGCTGATATCACGATGCATCACCCCGGCGAGAAAGGCAAGTTGATGGCCTGTGCAGTGCATATCGAGGGAGTCAGTACATGCTACACCGGAGGAGCAGGATCTCAATCAACCTTTTACAGCGTCACGTAACGCCTCGATGAGGACCCTCGTGCTAGGAAATTGGTCCAGAGGTATTCCGACAGTGTCCAAAACGATCGGCATGTGGTGACGATCACGCGGATGCAACGTCGGCGAATCAGAAGGGGCATTAGCTGACATAGACTGAGCTTCGTGTAGACTCTTGGGGTGCTCGCAACCGAAGTCGACGCCGTTTGCTAGTCTTGCAATGCCCGTGTAAGGGACCCCTTTCTCTCTGCAGTATTGCTCGATCCGCTCGTAGAACGCCATCTCTGGGTGCTTTCGAGCTCGTTGCCGCCACGCGTCCTTGACGATATACCGTTTCCCAGACTGATCGCCCTTCAACACCGCCTGACGGACGCACGTTGCTGGACAAAACGTGTTTGGATCGACATAGATGGGCCGCAGCAGAAGATATTCTTGGTAGATGCTATGCTCGCCTTCGTTGGATGGTATCTTGACCCAGCGATTTGACTCCTCCTCTGCGTTGGCATCCCATCTTCCGTCAGCGGTGGTACAAACTTCCTTCAAGTTCGCCCATGCAACATCCTCCGCGCTCGCCAGCCAGCACGTATCGTCGGCCCCGATGAACTGCGCCCTGGTATTCGGATGGAAGAAACACCATATGAACTGCCAAAGCACCTCCGGCTGGGCAGTGTAGTTGAAACGACAGCTACCTACTGCCCCGGCGTGGTCGACGCGGAAGATACGGGCTTCCTGGCCATAGATGCCGATGACAAAGACACAAAGGGAGCCAGTGGCAAGCATGACATTGCCGGCGTCGCGCATGATCTGGACTCTATGCTCGATAGCCTTCTCACTCTGAGAAGTGATCGGGTCCGGATGGTTGCTGCCTTTGACCTCGACCACGAAGCACACCTGCTTCCACTCGTGAGGCTGCTCGTTAGGGCCAAGAGTCGTCCCTGGGGGAAGCGCGACAATGTCGGGTGACATAAATTGTTGATGGCGACGCCAGGACCTATATGGGGACAACCACTGCTTGCTAGCTCCTTGGTAGAACGAGGGCCGCTTGTCGATATCCATGTCGTTACAGAGGACCTCGAAGCCGTCGACCTGCCATCCCTGTTAGCGTCGCTGATCCATCACTGTAGGACTACACGACTGACCAGATACTTGTACATGCGGTGTATCGATCAAGACGTGTGACTGGAGTACTGACCTATGGGCGAAGAGCCGGATGCTAAGTCCGACCGATGGAATAACGATTGCGACCAATATCCACAGCGTCGCTTTGCTGCGCCTGGTGCTCGACAATCGCACGGCGTGCGATTCCAGATGATGGGAGGAGAGACTTGAGTATCCCCGACTACGACCGGAGGGAGAGAGGAGGGCTTTGTCGACCATAAGTCGTTCGCAGCCGGCGATGCCGCTCCCTCCGTGGGAAACACGTGACTCATAATTCCCATAAGCGGTATCGCAGCAATGCTCGAGTGTCTTACGAGGCAGCTCGAGGCGGTTGGATCCTTCCGTGCTTCTGGCTGCGTCTGGACGCCTGGATCTTTGACCATCGAATAAGTCCTCCCAAAGGTAGGAGGGCCTCTATTATGTTGAGAGCCCTCGCATGTACTGTAGTATGTATTACGGTAAGTAAGTTCGCCGTGTGGCTCAGACTCGTGGAAGCCCGAGACGCCCGGGCGGCGAAGCCGCCGCGGGCGTGAGGGCTTCCAATTGAGTCTCCATACCATTCCGATGGTACTTACAATATTAAAATACACACATAATATACTATGGTGCCGCTGTGGCAGGCTGAGTATAATAGCTGTGTGCCATGCAGGAGTCACCGGGAACAATACTTGGGAATTGGTTGTCGAACATGCAATGAACAACGCTCCTGGTTGGAGAACCGTTTCGGAGCATGTTTGAAGTCCGAAGGTATGCCGAAAATCCGAAGGATATTCAACGAACATCGCCACAATTACCAAAAAAGGAAATTCGTCGACCGAAAATATAACATCTTCGTCAATCTTTTGGATCCCAAATGTGCTCCGAAACGGTTCTCCACAAGGAGTGGTTTCCGTTGCATGTTCGACAGTCGACTAGGAAGTGCTGTTCCCGGTGAGTCGGGGATCGGCGCTTGCGCCGCTACGATAGAATATGTGGAGGCGGCGCCACGAGGCTCTCGCGCCCCACGTGACCGTATAGAACAACTTGAATGGGCGACCTCGCGTAGATTCTGCCGCATTGGGCGAACAATTGCCTGTGATGTCTCAAGAATCAAAGAGATCTGTGATATGCCCATGTACTGCCCATGCTCATGCACATGTCCTCAGTGGTCTGACATCGGCTGACGCAACAAAAAGTGAGTGGCTGATGTCTAAGTTTGAAGTTCAAGTTGGCGCCGTTAGTACATAGAGCCTTGTTACTGGTGATGTGACTCCTACGTATGTCACGAGTCAAGCTACGCCTTGCCGCTAAGTTGATTGTGGCGTCGTCTTGCTATTTAGTTCGGCGCACTCCTCTAGATCTCGCGCTACTCCGCAATGTACTGTCTGCATCATGGGAGCTTTTGAAGCAGTTGTATCCTGTGAGGTACGAACACCATTACCACACAGGTGCCACTGGTCCACGCGTCGGACGGTGGTATCGTCTTTCAATCTGTGGGATCTGGATCATGAACTTGAACTCAGTACTCACCAAGCCTCGTACTGAGCCACTAAAGGGCGGCAAAAGGTCAGTCATGCGCGCAAGATATCGCCGACTCGCTGAATGATGTGCAGAGATCACGTCCAGAAAAATGCAGGATGCAGGATGAGGTCGA